GGATTTTCAGTATATTTTATGTTTTACAGACCAGACAATTCATCAATGCAGATCAATTGATAATGAAAATAATAGCTACAGCCCTAAAAATACAGAATTCCCAGAGCTCAAGGTCACCTCTTCCGATTGCTCGGTTTACTTGACAAACAGTCCCGGCTTTCCCACAGTGTTTTATAGTGGAGGCGGGCCACCTCCACCTCCACCTCCACTAACATCAGAAGAAATACAACATTAACCTTCAGGGGAAATCAACAGATGGACCATTTCACACAGCAGACGTTACGTATTTAATGAGTGTGGCTGTTGTTTAGCCGTCATCTACTAACTAAATTGATCACGAAACGTGACACATGAAGATCTGGGTGGCTTAATGTCTCTACTAAATAATTTCCTAGGAAACACAAAGTCTAAAACTCAAAGCTATGCAATTTCCAAAGATATAAGAGAGTAAAAAAATAAATACTCCCTTTTTAGAAACCGGGACAAGACATTCGACTCTGCATTACCGATAGTTGTATTATTTTGTAAATTGCCCCACATGACTCTGTGTGTAGTTATAACAATGACAGCATTTGTCATTTGTCACAGAAAGAATCCACTTTTACTATTGCTTTCAATATTCTAGATAAATGTAGGCTCACATATATACACAATGGGGACTCTTTCAGAGATTTTCCCATTGCGTGAACTCGTTTGGCAGGTGCAAAAAAAAAAATATTTTAAATGAATTTCCCTTCATAAATATATTGAAAACTATACATCTAAAGCACCACTTACACTTGGTAACTTACCGGGTTTATGAACAAGATGAAAGGCCAGCATGAACTGTGACAGATAAGCCTTGTGGATCCAGCTGGGTTCAAAGCAGGGCAATGACATCAACAGATCTGACAGAAGCAGACTAGTGTCACGACTATGTTTTTTTTTATTCAATCCAATTTTTGTTGTTGGAATCCTTTGTATATAAAATAATATTTTACATGTTAATTTCTCCCCATATCTGCATCAATAGATAGATATGTTAATTGCCGTAAATCATTCCAGACAAAAGGCAGCATGATTATCACAGCTCATTACAGACATAATCGCCCAGGCGTGGACTCATCTGATCTGAACCTGAGTCAAGTCACCTGGCGTCCGTTAGTGAGCAGAGCATTAGCATCAGAGAGAGCGACAATTAGCCTTCCCCCTCCTGCCCGCACAGCTCTCATCGTCTCACCGACAGGTCCTGATAGCCTTTCATGGCTGTGAAAAGAAAACAGCAGGCCACGCTGCTATCTAACTAGGGGCAGACGGCAGGATGGGGTTATCAGAATATCAGTTTCCCTATCAAACTGCAAACACAAACAGCCTTCATTAGCCTTTGTAGTAATTTCAAACAGCCTGCATGGTTTATTACAGCAAACCGCTCAGAAAGTTAAGGTGGTATCTTGTTTGTAACTGACTTTTTTCTGCTACGACTGTACAACACAAGATTATTTTTCAATGAATCATTTATAGGGTGCAATAGGCAATTACTTTTGATTAATCGGCCAATTATTTTCTCAATGAAATGCTTTTTTAGTTGTCAGATTATTCGTTTATCAGCAAATCATCATATTTCAGCAAATGTTTGGAATTTCAGCTTGATGAATGATTTTCATTGTTGATTCATTTTATGGTTGTTTTATTTGAATCAAAAGAAATGAGGAAAAACATGTTTTCCTTTGTGGTACTTTTTCTTTCTAACTTGGTGAGAGGTGAAAAACTCACTGAGCCTTTAATTAAATGGAAAATTGATAATGTCATTAAGAAGGAACCTGACATTTATTTTTAGCTGTGAAACAGTGGTCTACTTTCTCAATCCCTAATTAGAAAAACTTACTGAGCCATGGTGGAGCGGGCCTGGGGGTTTCTAAATTCAGCTAATTAAAAAACTAAACACATGGACTTAACATGGTTTTTTATTACACCAGTGAGAACTTAATTATGAACACCTGATCCCTAATATGCGATGCTATGCTGGCTGTAATAACGTTGGTTTGGATGAAGATGTGTGTGTGCCTGCTTCCAAATAAAGACCAGACAAGTGTTCAGACAGCAAATCCTGCCAAGAGTGACGGGAAAAAAGGCAATATTTGTCCCTCACCTGTTTCAGACATTAATACTGCAGATGACAACCCAGATATGTGGTGTAAGTTATTACTGTATAACTCGATCAAACAGGTTCTCAGCCAGCTGGCTCAGTGGCTGCAGCAGGGTCTTTACTACCACCAGACATTTCCAGATTCAGAGAGTCGGGGAGTGGAGGCGGTCAAACTTGCAAGCAGCAGCATTTGTCTTGTGAGACAACTGCATATGAGAGGCCTGAGCTGCATGCTGGTGCCAGAATTCTTGTGTTAATGCAGCAGAGAAAAGAGGAAGAAGTTTGTATTCATGGCTATCTATAGATAGGAGTGGTGCCTGTGACATAGCAGCTGCTCCCCAGAGAGCAGCGACACATTAACCTTCAGCCAGCTGTCTTGGCCTGCCGGTTAAACATGAGCTCACACACTCAGAGAGAATATACACTTGTATTAGCAAAACCTTAGTCCAGGAATTTAAATCACCCCAAAAAGTCTATTAAGTCTGGTTTGAAATCTTTCTATGTATCATAGCATGTTCAAAAGTAGAGAATGAATCTAAAAAAACACAACCATTAATGTGCATGCTCCCACTCAGACACCCCAATACACATACTGGACCAATCATCTGATCTGCACTGGGACTCGAGAGATCAGCACCGCATGGCTACAGCTGTTTCACAGCGGGTCAGGTTACCCTGCCACCAGCATCCCCTAGGCCTTCTCCAAGGGAACGACCTCACGTCGAACCAACACACACAGGCAGTCGGGCACACTGTCCCCCAACAGCTCCCTGTACCCCTGCAGGTACCAGGCGTAACACACGGTATTTTGAGTCCAAAACAGACATACTTCCTAAAGCTCCTTGATGATACACATCTTGCAAGGAAACTCAACAGCTTGTGATTGTCACACTGAAACCTCCTCACAGGAAATGAGAGAAAGTGCTGCAGCAGCCATCAGCCATCAGCAAAACAATACAGACTGTAAATAGTGACAAGTAGAACCGGGTACAGAACCAAAACAGAATTGAACTGTCAAAAGCTGGCACTAAATGCTGCTTCTTCACTTATTTTTGGGTGTGGTCCACTAATCAGACAATCGGTGGTTCGAACCCCAGCTCCTCTAAAGGGCTGCATGTTGAAGTGTCCTTGGGCAACATACTAAACCCCAAATTGCTTCCTGTGCCATCAATGTGAATATTAGTTTCCTTTCAGAAAAGCAGTTGGCTCCTTGCATGGCAGCCTCTGCCATCAGCATTTGAATGTGCGTGTGAATTTGCCATATAGTGTAAAGCGCTTTCAGTGGTCGAAAGACTGCAGTCCATTTACCATCAGATATTTTTGTGTTCAATTCCTGTTGTTATTGTTCAGTTTGACATTTAACATTGAGAAGTTTGGTTTCTTAAAATATATCGATTAATTAATCAACATAAATGTATTAGAAACTGTTTTGATAATTGTTCGAGTGATGCTTTAAGTAAAGGAAGTGCCAAATATTCACTGGTTTGAACTTCTTGAATGTGAACATTTGCTGGTTCTTCTTCTCTATAACAGTAAACTGAATATTTAGCTTCAAATAACTATACATTTTTGTCAGCCAAAACAAGAAAACGGAAGACGTCAATTCTGATGGTCAATTTTCTGTATTTTCAGACATTTAAAAGACTTAACGATCAGTTAATCTGGAAAATAATCTGGTGATTAATTGATAGTGGAAAATAATCACTAATTGCACCCCCTATTGTTCAGGACATTTTTGATTCCAATCTTTGATTCTGAACAAGCTATAATTAAAGACTAAACGAATGTAATTATTAAAGTTAATGTTAATATTTGTGACCATCAGTTTGATTGTTTTACAAGTGATTTTGAATACATTTACCACACACACCCTGAGTCAGTAGACTTAGGATAAGGCCAATAACAACATGAGAACAATAAATGTGGCAATAAATATGTAACCACACAGGCTCCTGGGTGTTTTCACACCAAACTTCCTCATCAGTTTGCCATAAACATTCCTCCCCTCTCCAGAACAATGATGTCTTCCTTTTGGACATCCTGCTAAACTCACACTCATCTCACAACCACACAGTTTAACTCCCCATACAAAGAAGACATGAGTACAGGAATTCGTTGAAAGCAGCCTCTTGGGGTGAGATTCCTAGAAACTGCAGTCTTTCTCAAGCTGTTTCCCGTACAGGCTCCTGCCCTGACCTTGCTACAAACAGCTGAAAGGTCTTAAAGTTGTTAATACACACTGTGTGTGTGTGTGTGTGTGTGTGTGTGTGTGTGTGTGTGTGTGTGTGTGTGTGTGTGTGTGTGTGTGTGTGTGTAGGCTGGTACAGTTTTCGCTGTGCTTCAAGTAGTTTGAGAAACATTTGGTCAGGGCATTGCTGAAATGTGGGTCAGTGAATGTTTTGGTAGCAACTATGCAAGACGATACATGCAGAGCAGCCAGCCAGCCCTCCCTCTCTTTCACAACCAAACCTCATACAATTTAGTAACAACTAACCAGCGAGAATGTTTGTGTTGCTCCGTGTGGTATTTAACAACAAAGTAGACGCAAATGTTTAACCATGAACTCACAAAGGAAGGAATGGTAAACCATTAACCACTCTGAACTTAGTTTACCATTCATTAATGCTGCATGTGGCTAAGCTCACAGTTTGTTTTAGTTAAATGCGACCATTCACCGGTGAATGGGACAAAGTGGAAAGCTCAACACAATAAACGGCTGCATTCACACGGAGGTTCTTCGAACTAAACACTGCTACATTGTTAAACCTGTTTTGTGTCAACGCACGGTGGTGTAAATGTTTCCAACCGGTGGTTCAGCCGATGTTTCGCTGTGTTAAATTCACAGAAACTACGCCAAAAAACTGAGGATTCTCACCAGAAACGATGAGCGGTACTCCGACCGGAGTCCCCGACCTCGGAGCTTCTTCTCTGGCCGGATGCCGTCTTTCCCTCCGAGCGTGCAAAAAAAACACCGACTGCTTCGTCTTCGTGGTTTCGGTGTGGTGGTGGCTACTTTCTGGTCTTCAATGTCGCTTACATCCGCGGGATTGTAGCGTCCAGTAGCATGGTTTTGTTTTTTATCCTTTAAACTTTCACTCCCGGTAGAAAATAGGAAGCGCTGCTGTTGTTTTTTCGTTTGCACAGACCATGGCAGTGTGAGAGACGATGGTGATTACTGGTTGATCTGAGTGTGTCCTCTGCCTGACTGCCACCACACAGCCGTGTCATCAAAATGTCAGCGGGGAAACAGCGCCACCTAACTGTTGGTGCTGGATAAGACAGGGAGGTTGTCAGCGCGGCCCACAGCGGCCCTTACTGGAGGCAATGCTGCAGGCCTAGATTGTCAGAAACACAGTCGTGTTCATTGCCAAGTAGGTTTTCACTTACAGTTTTTACATACGAGGAATTTGCTTTGGTATTTTGCAATAAACAATAACAATAAAATTAATAAACAACAAACATAATAAGGGGAATAAAAAGATATATAAAAACAAGTAAAGTCACAAAACATAAATAGAAAACATGGACAAAATATACATTTTTATTTTCACCTGACAACTGACATCATTGATGTAAGGTTAATTTATTAAATGGTGAAATGTAACTAAGTAAATTTACTCAAGTAGGGCCTACTGTGGGCCTACTTAAAGGGACATGGTCAAAAAAATAACTTTCTCAGAAAGTATCTGGTGCTCACGAGCAAGTATCTGGTGCGCACCAGATATCTTTCAGGAGATGATTTCATGAGATGTTACAGGTATGTGGTGCACACACCATAGTGTCTGGTGTGCACAAGATTTGCCTATATGTCTGTTTAGTCGCTATGTACAAATTCAAGGTACTTTCTATTTTATGTAACTGTATACTTCTACTCCACCACACCTCAGAGGCAAATATTGTACTTTACTTTACATTACTCCACTCCATTTGTCTGACAGCTTTAGTTACTAGTTACTTTACAGATTACAATTTTTCATACCATTTCTGTCCAGTGAAAACAATGTCAAATTGTGAATACATTGAAATGCAACTGTACCCCCCTCAATGCTGCACATGCACAATATATAAACAGATATTCAAATTTCAAACAATACAATATGTGTAAGATTACTGAAGTATTCTTTTAAGGGCTGGAAAAAATCCTCCTACTTCTTAAGCTAAATAAACTATTTAACAAAGCTGAAAACAGGGCAGTTTCTCTGAGCTCATGAAAAGTTTAGTTTTTAGAGGTAGATGGTTTTCACAGGACAGCAACACTACAAACTTGACGATCTTATATAATGCATTGCTGCAGATTAAACTACCCAAGAGTTTCTAAAGTAGGTAAAATGAGCTTACATTAAACATACATCAATTAAATGCGCTACTACCTTTTATACTTAAAGTAAATTTCGCTGATAATAGTTTGCTTACATACTTTTGTTTAAGTAGGGTTTTTAAATGCAAGACTTTTACTTGGAGCTCCGGGGACATCTCCCCTTATACTTACCTATATTTTGCTGTTTAGTCAGATTATTGTTGATGTGGTCTATTGTTATTAGTATTTTCTACCTCTAACTTTGAGCATGAATATATATTATATGTAGGGCCTATGGTGAATACTAGTTAGATGTCAGGATAATTCTTCACTTTAGTGTTCAGTATATAATTTTGTCTTATCACCCGATTTGCACCACAAACAGACAGTATATTACTTGGCACTAAGAAACAGTGTATATTCTACATCTTACCATGTTAAGTTTTTTGAGTTTTGAGTAACATCCTAAAACGAATCACTTCCTTGCACACTGGACAAACATCCCATCAGATTATGTCTGTATTTGAGATAACCTGCTATCTAAAGCACAAAAATCAAAAGCAGCATGTACCACTTTTCCTGAATTCAAAACTAACAGACTGATAATCAGTTGGTGCATATTAGAAAGATTTTCCTCCTCTTACATGCTTCTCTCACTTACTTGCAAACTTACAACACGTCCTGAAACCTTCCCCTCCAACTTCCTCTCACTTTCCTGAGCAACAATCCCAAACAGTTTAAACATTCAGTCCTTTCTGGGGGGAAGCCAGAATTCAGGTGGGAAAAACGCTAGCCAAACAGAAGGCTGCATACTTTCCAGCAGGACCTTATGCAGAAGCAGAGGGAGCGGCCTTGTTGAGGGGCCTCTTTCAGCTACATCTGCACAGGAGACATTTGGCAAGAAAAACTCTCCAGCTCTGGGCATCGTTTGTTTTCTGCCAATTTTTTCCAGAAACGTCACTGTTTTTGTTGTCTGACATCCATCTTTTTTCTTGCAAGTAGATATTAACCAGGCAACTGGTGCATATTCAGGCTGTGGTGTAATTTCAATAGTGAGCCCTATAAATTTCCCCTTCTATGATTAAAGAAATAGGAAACTAAGTGAATTTACTCAAGTACTGTACATGGACTTTATTTGAGTATTTCTACTCCACTACAATTCAGAGGCAAAAATGTAACTTTTTACTCCACTTGTTACTCTGCAGTATTAATAATACAAAATTTAATCAACAAATACATTATTATGTGTAATTACAAGCTAAGATAAGACTTCATTTATATGTAAAGTAATTCAAATGTGATCAGCATTATTATAAAATGGGCCATTCTGCATATTGAGTACATTTATTTTTGGTGCTTTAAGTATATTTTGATGCATATACTTTTACATTTTCACATATGTGAAATCTTGAAAGCAGGACTTTTACTTGTAAACAAGTATTTCCACACTGGTAGTACTTTTACTTAAGTAAAAGATTTAGACAAAAGGTACATGGTGGATTTGCTACAGAAAACGTACATTTATTTGCAGCATAATGACAGAACAAAATAAGTGGTTAAAGGAGCACAATAACTTTTTCAAGTCAATATTAAATCCTCGGCACCTTCTGTCACTTGGAAACCCTCTCTGCTGTTTGTTGGATTCAACCTCTTATCCAATCTGCATGGTCACTCCCTCCCTTTCCTCTCACAAGCGGTCAATATTCCTCCAGGCTCCCACCCCACCTCTCACATACATCTTACTCACCTCTCCCTCCTGGTCTGCCTCACCACTCGTTATCTCTCACCAATTTAGACACAGAACTCAAGATGTCCTGGACAAATGCAACCCTGCTGGCCCTCCTCGCCGTGCTTCATGTACTTTCCTGTGAGTCTGCTGCAGGAGAACTTATATCAGGATCATCTTTGAAGCAAATAGAGTGAAGATGACTGTTTGTTTCCTTTGTATTTCATGGAGAGGTAAGCATGGGAGCCTGTTTTAATTTAGAGCCTTCATGTCTTGTCCCCTGGCCCAGTGTCTCCAGAGGCCGACTCTGCAGCTGTGCCCAGCAGCACAGGAAGCTCTAGAGACCCACAAGGTGAGGACCTGCAACAGCTGCATCTCTTCTATATCCTCTCTCTTTTTATCCCTTCATGTTGTGAACTGAATCCTCTCCTGCTCCCACTGCAGGTCTGCTTAAGAAGATCTTCATGAATGAGGCCGATGCATCAAACTTCTTCAGAAGACGCAGCAGACGGGGTGTGAAGTCTCAGGATGAGATTACCGGTGAGTTCACTCTGGGTTTTGTTTGTGGAAGTTTGGATTCAGGTCTGGCCAGCCAAGGTGGTGTGTGTGGTTGTGTGTTTGGGGTAATTGTTGGCATCTGTGTCTTATTATATAGGATATTTTCACTGTTATGCCACGCTGAAAGTCAATATGTTGCATCCAAATTGTTCCTTCATTAATACAAATAATGAGTCATTGTGAAACCATTTCTCTCAAGAATTTTTTTTTTCTCATTTTCAGAAACCAAAACATCCTGCACACTGTTGATCACTTGTACTGACTTTATTACTAGTGATTTATTAATATTGATAAAGTGAGGGTACAGTTTTATATAGTTTCCTTACGGTGAAGAGTTTTTGATCCTACACACCTGTCTTTAAAACTTTATGGTGTGCTAAACTTTGTCACAGTTGTTACCTCTCAAAACAAAACAAAAAAATCTGCTAAAGAGCTGAAATAAATCCAGTGAGGGTTTATGTGCATGAGAAATCTTCTAGAAATGGGTGTAACTCTGTCCAAAAAAGACAGGAAAGGGCAGCACCAGTATCAACAAAGTGACATTTGATTCTCGAATTTATCTGATTGAAATGATCTGAATGAAACATTTTCTGCTCCAAGACAAATTGTCCTGCACAACAGGCCTTTGAAAAAGTAAAGACAAAAACATCAGAACCACTGGGAGAGAAAGAATTAATGCTCATGTGATTGACATGGACAAAACAAAGCATTTATCGTCTAAACAAGATAAAAGTACTGATAACATGATATTATGCATCTGAATACTGCGTAAAAAAAATAATACTTATTTTTGTACAATATAACCACACGTTATATTTATTATTTATTTAAGAAAATTCACAGATAGATGAAATTACTCTTGAAACTGAATACCTTAATTTGCAGTTTGAATGGACAGAGATGATATTGATGACCTTTATGTTGTTTTAATTGTGGCAGCCAGCAGCTGTTAACTGTTTTCTGAACCTGGCCTGACCCGAGACCAGAGAGTCAGACGTGTCTGGTCACACAGCAGCTCTGCTTCCTCTGCTGGAGGCTGCAGCAGGAGCCACAGGGCAGCATGGAGCTCACCTCAGAGTATATCCATGAATATCCTCTTTACAAGTGTGTGAAAATTCCCATATTGTACAATGTTTGACATTCAAGAGTGATTTAACAGCACTGTTATGTACAGTTCTGTCAACAGGAAGGTGAGAGCACACACTGAGCCTGCTGCTCTGAGTTGGAGTTGTGTAACATACAGTGGGTCCGTGTGTGTATCAACAACATGACACTTTGTGCAGCTAAAGGAGGGATAAAATGAACACAAAGCAGTAAAACACAGTGAAAAGACTGAGATGGACGAGTGAGTGGGTGAGCAGTTCGGCGTTGAATGTGGAATGTGCCGACACACAGGCAAAAAGGGGTCAGAGAAAAACCATTTAAAAAAAAAGTGAGACAAATAAAGTGTGCTCACTTTGAGGAGCCTCTCCTGCTGGATAATGACATAAAAGCACAACATCCCACTTGCAGATAAATGAAATTTGCAAAGGAAAATATCTGATATATGTACTAACTGTTTGTGTAGGTGGACATGTTGAGGCACAATTTAAAGCAAAGCTTTGACATCCAAACGTAGGCATCAGACTCTGAACGAATGCTGCTGTTTGACTGTTTGTTTTTGTGGGAGTTGGTGAGCCAGAAGAAGCTGGTCTGCTGTAGTGTGTCAGGTGAAGAAAATTATGGATGATTAACTCTGCTGTGCAATGTTTGAAAAGGATAACAAACCAAAAATAGTAGGTAGTTGCTCTCAATACTGTCCTATTAAATATGTTCTCTGCAACTCCCTGATCTGCAGTTCATCTGGATATCTTATAAACTTTAAACCTTGTAATTCAAAAAGTGACTTGTATTTCCAACATGAGTTCCAACTCCCGCTGCATGCTCAGGCTTGTGCTGGGAATTCTGGTAAAGGTCACAATGTTGTGACCTGACTTTGGAAAGCCTACGCATGGCTATCCCAAACCTTTCCTATCTGAGCTATAGAAGCTTTCTAATGTTACTACTAGTGTATGAGTTTCACTGACACATTCTTGGCCACATATGACAGACGAGTACTTGAATGTGTTCTGTTCTTCTTCGCATGTTAAATGCTGCTGGTCAGAGGTCACATGCAGGTCACTCTTCTGTATCTATATTAGTACAAACTTGGAACCAGATCCAAAGTGGAACGGGTTACCAGAACCCATCCTTACTAAAGAGATTGCAGTGTTGGAAAATACCCACTTGATGTGTCTAACTCAGACTGTTGAAGTCTCATATTAACTTCTGCTGAACTTTAGGATGTATTTTTGGATCAAACAAGGACAAGGATTTTGTCCTCAATCACTTACACTAATATTGCATTAGGAAGTATGGACAGGAAGAACAGTTACAGAGACCAGTCACTCAACCAGTAACTTCAATGTACATGTGGGCTTGTGAGTTTTTTATGAAGATGGACTTGCTTTCTACCCACACATATCTTTCTGTATCCAGTAAAAAAGGTGAGACATGACTCATTAGACTTCCTTCCGTCACTTGGGGGTCCAGGTTTTGTATGTTTGTGTGTGTCGGCCTTGGATACAAGCAGTTTCTGTGAATCACAGCTTCACCACAAATACCAGCGTTATTGAAGGTCACAAAAAGCAGCTTTTGTTCAGACACAAAGATTCAGTAGTGTGGATCTTTTTGAGGTTGTGGTTTTATGATGTTTAACAGTCATGGTGTTGAGTAGGTGTGTGTCTATACTAGCTTTGAATTGAAACTGTGGTTCCTGCCCAAAGGGTGTCCAGATTGAAATGTAAAGAAAATATTTTTTTTACTTTCTGTCAGTACATATTTTTACAAAAAAAGGAAAACACAAAGCAACCCAAACAAAGCCCAAAAAGCTGCTGTCATTGCAGAAAAGCACAGATGAGCAAGTTTTATGTAGTTCTCCAAAAAGTGAACTGTATATTGTATAACATCAACTCATGGTGTTTAAAATAGATTAAAATCTTTGCTTTATATGTACTGTTTGTGTGCCTGATGTCATGTTTGCTTCATCAGCAAATCCTACTCAGCAAATAGCAGCCGGGTTAATATGACAATAAACTACATAATCTATGATGTTTATCATTTCATGCTCAGTTCATTCATCCTCCTCCTCCTCTGTGCTTGCAGCTGAGCAGAGGCAGATTCTGGCTGCAGATGAACGGAAGAGAGAGTTTCACGAGGAGAAGAGGAATGAGTTTGAGAGTTACGCTGAAGAGGAGCACGATGGTATGCAAACCCTGATTTCTGATGTAGCTGAGGGGGATGAGTTCATTCACTCGACCAGCTCATTCATCCCCGAAAAATTTCACAATCTTCCAGAACAAAACGAGAGGACCAGAGAGAGCACCGAGCAGTGGAGAGAGTTTCACTACGACGGGATGCATCCTTCTCAAGAATACAACCGTCAGTCCATCTGAGACTGAGAGGAGAGAGGTGACGCTGAAAGAAACACCTGTAACTTCACAATGAGGCATTTCTCCTCAGACCTTTGACCTTTGAATGCGTAAAAGTAATGATAATTGCAAACTTTTTCAAATGGATTTCTTTTGAAGCCCCAAAATGTAGAAAGCTTTTGAAATGGTAACCTCTTTGCCACAAACTGGGCTGCACATTTAATGAAAAAGACATTGTTGTTTCACACAGCAAACAGTTATTTGATGTTTTGTATGTTTACAGCTATGGATGGACATATATCTTGTTCATTCGTTTAGGTCTGCAACTAACGATTACTTTCATCATCGATTAAGCTACCGATTATTTCAATCAATAACGATATTTCATTTGGCCTATAAAATGTCAGACAACAGTAAAATAAAATAAAATCCAAGATGACTTAATTAAATTTCTTGCTTTTTCCAACCAACAGTCAAAAACTGTTATTACTACTAGTTACTATTATAGTGGCCCAAGAAAACAGAAAACAAAGATTACATCGGAGATGTTGGAACTAGTGAATTTATGGCAGTTCTGTTTATAAAATAACTTAAAATGTCATTCACAGACAAAGAATTGTGCAGTATGTTATATAAATAGTTAAGTTACTTATAGTTGTTGTCAGTTAGAGGTTCCTGTTAGACCTTATGAACTTATTCAGGATTATAATAATAATCACAGATGAAAATCCATTGCATTTAACAGCTGATGTCTCTGAAACCCCCAAACAGAAGTGATGTGTCCTTTTCTGTAGTGGACTTCTGAAACATGTCATCAGTTCAAAATTATGTTTATAAGCAATTCAGTCATGAAGTATTGAGCTGATAAAACAATGTAAAGTATGTTTTTTTAGCTATTAAGGAGGGCCCGGTCTCCTGGGTTAAATACATGTGCAGTGATTTAATAACACATTACCAGAAAAAGAATAAGTGTGAATATGCTGTATTTACTATACATTTACTCACTTGTGATGACATTAGATCTTTTAACATAGTCATATAAAAATCTGTATTCAGTAACATTCTTTAAAAAAGGTACAAAATGTGTACAAACTAACTTAGAGATCTATATTTACTCCCTGTCAAAGAAGCAACGACTCATGCTTACAAGCCTCTTTTTTTAATACATGAATCTCTACAACTCCAAAGCACATTTCTGCAACAATATGTAATACATGCATACTGAGGGTCTTTCAATGCTTCATATATTTTGCTTTCTGTTGATATTTTGGGGAAGAAAATATATTGGGAAGACAAAAATAAACACTCAAGGCCCAAGCTAACTGTGTTGTTGAGATTTGTATTTACAGTACGTAGAGGCTCAAAGTCAATTTTCACAACACTTTCAGAAAATTCAAGATGGCAAAGCCCTTTATGTTGGGCATGTACTTGTGGAGTGGACCCCCCCCCCACCCCCCATTCATGTTGAGTGACTTTTAATGATATAGCGGTACCACAGACAAAAACTCAAAGACAGATCCCTGGTCTTTGTGAAAATCTCTATATTGCGAGCATGAGAGTGAAGGAGAAAGAGTCTTTCTGCTAAATTCAACAGGCTGGTATGAAAGCACAGTGATTAAACAGAGTGAGTGAGCTGTTTTCAGACCCACCACTTCATGAGCGGAAGCAGAGCACGATACTACTGAACTGCACACTACTGATTTGAGGATTCTGCAATGGGAGCAAAGGTTCAAGATCAAGATACATTTGCATTCATTTGTCAATTTTACATTGTTACTGCAGGCATGAATGCGCACTTCACTGATAAACACTTTTCTTTAAATCCAAATATAATTCACGGCCTTTAAAGGGAAAACAATCCATTCAGTATGAGTTACATTACACTCATACTGTCAAAAATGAAGGATTCAAAGAAAGAAAACATCTGTCAGACTCTCCCAATGGCACATTAGAATAACATGCAGTACTTGAAGGTTTTACTTTTTAACTATTTCACCGTCACCATCCTCATCGGCAGTGTCTGATCACGCCGAGAGGGGGTTTGGTGGTTAGCTTCATGTTGGAGCACATCCCTGAGAACTGTCACACAGCAACAACACATGATTTCCCTCCTGTTGTCAAGGAGGACTTCACAGTCACGTCAGAATGAATCAAATATAACAGCAATTACAAAGTAACTAACTAACTATTATATACAGTATCTTTATTATTCCATAACTTTTCAGTCCAGTCTGATAAAACATTTAAACATTTCTGTAAGTGGTACTCTTACAAAAGTCATAATTGAATTGTAAGAAAATAAATAATCCAATACATTAGTGCAATGCAGCGGCCCTCTCAGCGATCACAGCGAAGCACACTGTCCTGCACATGTTCCATGTCCACACACTTTAAAGCAAAGAGATAACACACGCTGTCACGCTGTTACCCTGCAAGCCATTGTAGCAAATACCACAGCAAATTAACAAGAGCTGTCAAAACGACAAAGAAGTTCAGAGTGCAAATGATGTCACAATTATTTACCATAGCTTGAAGCTTATATTTCACTGGCGTAACATGACTCCACTCAACAGTGCCAGGCGAGATATTTACACAAGGCATACAGCGGAGCATGCCGCCTCAAGACGTTCATAGTCAAATATGTCAAAGTGTTCCCTTTAGTGTGGCACTTCTCAGACCAGCTGCTCAGTTTATCTGCCAGACAACCAGGATCCAGGCTGAACATGGCTTCCACAATAACAACTTCTGGTGAGCATCGTCCCCTCTGTACTTCCAGGTCTGTATGACAGTGGGAAGGGGGATCAGTGGGGTGCCGCGCTGAGCCATGATAAATGGAGCTGAACAAACGCTCCTCAAATTCCTCCCGTGATTGGCAGAAACAGGTGGGAGGTTGCGGGATGGGCAAACTGGGCGACGACGTTGGATCACATGGCCTGGGATGGTTTTATCCCGTCCTTAAAGCTCTGTGGTCTCCCAGCTCACCTCCCGCGGAACCTGGCGTCATTTAGTCCCCGTGTGGATGACAGTAACGGTAGAGGGTCGTGGCCGTGGTGGCTCTCCCACCACTGATGGTTCCTCTTGTACAGGAGAGGCACCGTCAGAGTCCTGATTGTACACTTTAACAGTGGAAGGCAAAGGAGCTATTGGAGGACCTGTGGGAAAAAATATTTTTAATAAGGATTTCCATATCATTAAATAAGTTTTTTTGACTAGTAGGAAAATTCAAGTTTAAGTCTGCAAATGTTCTATGTTATAATTATTGTCAACAGATCCCATTAAAAGACTAACAATGTGTGGCAAAAGGGGCAAGTATGCTTGAAAACTGCAAAACTGCTTGTCAAATGGTTAAATTGCTTCAGAAAGAAAGGTCTTCCAGGAGAGACTGTCTGAAAACGTGGACAGTTATCCCTATGTATTCTGACTCTCTTTGACAGCCGGCTTTTGTGTGTGGCCGTTTGGAACAACTATAAAACACTTTTGAATTACGAAATCCCAAGCATGTGTGAGGCACTCAACCCCAAGCCTATTAGGTGTACCTGAAGACATAAATCTTTCAAATTAATTTTTACTGTCATTTTTAGCAAATGTTAAAATAATGCAATTTGCAGCCATGGATTAACACACATTTGGTACTCTAGTGAGTAGTGAATGTCAGCCAGTGCAACAATGTGACTCATTAATGTGTTTTTAACAGTTTTTGGACAACAATGGAGGTCTATGACACAGAGGAATAACCTTTATCAGGTTTTGGTTATGCAGACAAAATGGTGGATCAACTCATTCTCGCTTTTGCTCTTTTCGTCATCTTGAAAATAAGGTAATAAGAAAAATATAGAATATATTAAACAGACTTATCCTCTAAGTTTTTTGTTTTTTATTCTTGACATTGGAAATAGTAAACATTACTGACTAGAACTAATAGAAATAATACCGAGATATTTTCACAAATGACAACAGACAAATATCTGCGGATGAAAACCATGAGATGTGGTTGGAAGCTCAGAAAAAAGCCAGTAAGTGGACCTTGAGTTAATATTTCTTTGGCGAACATTGTTGTCAGTCACACCATACTACACTGACTGTCCATCACAATCTAGAAAAGAAGCCTACATTAATGTAATATTACTCATTTTAATTACTAATTAATCTACTTATTAGTTTTGTGCCTGGCCGCTTAAATTCATAAAATATTTAGTCTATTAATTGACTAAACATTTTCCCAAATCCTGTTATTTTATGTTGAATGATATAAAACAAAGAAAAGCAAAAAATCCTCACATGTGAAAAGCTGGCACCAGCAAATGTTTCACTTTCTTGTTTGATAAATAACTCAAATGGTTAATAAAGTAAGTAGTAAACACATAATAATTAGAGTTGTGGTGTTATAACAAACCTCCATTTTTAAAAGATCTTATGTTAAATTAAATGGCACCAGACACGCCATGACCGCGTGGCTCATGTCAAACTCAGTCTGCTTCATTGAAAATTACACCTCAAGAAAATTTTAAACAGTTGCCAATTAGCTCAGTGGAGATGGCAGCAAAGTGAACAGAGCTCATCTGAGTGCAGTACTAAAAGTTGGACACGTTCACGTCTACAGAGAGCATCTGAAGTATCACTCACAGTCCTTCAGGGAGAGCGGGGCGCAGTCTACAGACTGGCTCTTGGCAGGAGCGCGACTCTGAGGGTTGGACGTAGAGTTGGTGCTGTGAATGCTGCTGCCAAAGCTGGTACCCAGCTGCAGGCGCCTCATGTGGCGGATCACAGCCGTCGCATTAAAGGCTTGCTGTGAAGAGAGGGTGTAAACAGATAAATGTTAATACCAAAGACAAATCCCTGTATGTTTTCGCTATTGAAAAAGAGAGAGAATATTGTGTTTTTACTAAATATTTGATAATCAAGAAAAATGAAGCGTTGCATGCTCACCCTCCATTTGCTTTTGGCAAAGTTTTTCCGCATTTGTCGACTAACTGATTCATGTATGTTCTTGCAGAGAGCAGTGCCTCCGGCAATCCTGAAAATTAATACCAAAAACAATAACAATTCAAACATACAGATAATACACATAATTGGTGAAATTATTTCTATTTGCATCCGTTATTCTTTGGGAATCATCCTCATGCTGCTTTCCTATTTGCTTGGATTGTTTATTTTCATCTTTGATTGATGGGGCAATGTTTTTACAGAAGCTCGCACAATGTATCACTTTCTGTCTCATTAATCATAATATCTCTGCATGAAAACTAGTCAATGAAAGCCATTTCTCTCTGTTATGATACCTGTTACAGACAGACAAACCACATATTTGTATCAAAATGACCACCTGCCCAAGACCCAAAAGGCCTATTACTGCCTAACAGACTTATTTATATTGGCTACATCAGCCGGAGATGGCAGCCCACGCCATCTCGCTCTCGTTAGCTCCGGCTCAGGCCTGGGAAGACATCCTAATTGTTCATTAAAGCTTCCACATTCTTGAAGGATCCTTCAGGACGCCAGCCACTAATTGGCAGCCATTTATTCAGCAGATTTCTCTCTGAGGGCTGGCGGTGCCGAGCAGAGGTGGGTAGGTGGCTCGAAGCCATGGCGACAGATGACAGTGGGAGGACATGTTCTCCATGAAAAATGCGTAAGCCTGGTAATCTTCGTCATACTGCTGTTTTATCACTTTTAAGATGTGTGGTTCCCAGCAATTGTCTGGTCAGGGTGTAGTGTGACGGAGTTTAGTTTCTCACCAAGGGTGCTCTAGAGCCTGGTCACATGTGAATCTCTTCTCTGGGTCTTTCTCCATTAGGCTGCTGATGAAGTCTTTGGCTGTGGAGATGAGTTAAAAAGGTCAAGAACATGTCCAGCTAAGAACATGTTGTATTCTGTGTAGACTTATATTTTTCCTTTTTTATGTGACTCTTTAATTTATGGGTCCTGCAATTTCTTTTTTAAAGTTCTTAAGGAGGAACCAGGAAAAATGACAGTAGTTAACAGTAAAACCCAAGAAAATACTATTGGAATATCAGAAACAGAATTGACCATGTTTGTTGAACGACATACGTGACTTGAGCTTCAGACTAAAAGAGTTCAGCTCAACACAAGGTAGGCTGTAATTATGTGAAATTAAAACTAGCAAATTTTGCTAGAGTTACAAGTTGTTACAAGATGCTACATCAATGTACAGTATATGGATAAGTAACATCACCTGCACTCGACTGTTGTAGTTTTATTTTATGTTATGTATAAGTTTGCTGCATCTAGGTAGCTAGATGAAAACGCTGGCACTTGGTGCGTTTACTACCACTGTTTTCAGGTATGCTAGCTAAGTTCATAGCCAAGTAAGTGTTACAGCTTTAGTCACTAATGTTACACACAGGTACTCAAAAACACATACACCATTGACCAGTCACTGTTCTGGATATAGATGACCACACCCATCTCATCATACATTTCTATTATCATAAATTAGGAAAATTACTAAGTTGGTGAAGAAAATGTAAAATGTAGGGATTAGAAATACTAGTTGGTAAAAAAATGACTAGTGAGAGATAAATAGAGTAGTAAATAATAATTAAGAAAAATTAAACTTATATTTTCCTAATTGATTGGAGGAAAAAGTCAAAGTGTTTATTTTTAACAACAGAGTGGAGGTTAAAGGAAAAATACAAAGCTTTATATTTCTTTTAAAACTCAATTTAAACTATACTATTTAGATATGTATTCATTCAATTTTTGACTTGTCTAATAACCTCTCACTGCCTTTTGACAGTTTTCTGGCCTCCATACATCAGCTCCGTTATTGAAAAATGAGTTAGAAAATTATGGGACCCGTAAAGTGCATACACACAAACACACACAGACACAAACACACGTGTCATAGCTCACCGGAGTCTGATATGTCATCCCAATACGGCGCATCAAACTCATAGTCTGCCTTGAGAATCTGCTCAAAGAGCTTCGAATCATTCTCATCATAGAAAGGAGGGTAACCACAAAGCCTAAGAAGATGAAGATAGACGATTACACAACAGTCTGTGTGAGTGCCGTCATCCAGCTGATGAAACTTTAACCCAAATCTAAAAAGGATTTGCTGTGGCCTAATCTCATTCACTGGCAGTTTGATGTTTTATATAGCATGCAACAGTAGACGGTTCATAGCAGAGACTACATGAATACTAAGAGGGGCAAAAAAATAGGACAAAAACAATCCATTTTCATATGATATGTAGTGAAAAAAAGAACACAAACTGTCATTCTACAACATAAGTTGAGGCTGTATATTCAAGTTTTTATCTTGATTATGAAACCACCAGGCAGAAGCGTCATTTGTGAATACACCCGAAACTGCTCCACTTAAATACCTTAAAATTCATCACACCTAACGAAGACCAGGGATTTTCTCTTTGCTAATGAGTGAAACCTATTAATTAGTTTGGCAGCTTAATGTAGGCTAACACTTTCCACTGAAAGGTTTACAGGCTCTGTAAAGTACGAACAGTAGCTGTTGCTCAGACCATGGTCTTGACCCTCCAACAGTGGTTCTGCATCAAATGGTGCATATTAGAAAGTGGATGGGGTCTCAAGGTGTCTTTAAGGTGCGGCGCTGTGATGTTTTAGATGATTCTCTTTTACAGTTTTAAAAACTTTTTTTTACATATTTTATTATTTACATAAGCTATGGCGTGTCGTCTATCTGCTGGTCAGTCCCTCCCTTTGGTCCAGACTTAAACATCGTAACAACAACCAGAAGATTCACAATTTTGGTCCCCAGAGGATGAATCCTACTGAATTTGGTGATTGTTTGACTTTTCATGCAGCATCAACATTTTAGGTTTTTTTTTGTGAAATGTCTCAGTCACTGTTGGATAGTTTGCTATGAAATCTAGTACCATCATCAGTTCAAATTCGTCCAATACTAAAAAACACATCCAAACCTAATGACATTCCTATCAGCCTCAGCTGTAACGTTACCTTGTGTTTAGTGCTAATTAGCTAATGTTAACATGTTAACATACTAAACTAATGCTCTGTTCCAAATCCATACTACATAATAATTCTATACAGTAAATACTACGTAGCAGGCTATACATCAAAGTGTTTTAACAGTTAATATACAAAAATATCAGACATGCCTTTTATTCTAACAGGAAATTACGTTGACAATCAAACTGACTTTGTTAACATCACTGCCATCTAAAATTCACAAATAGACATCAAGCTGTTTTTCCTAAGTTATTATACTAGTGTGAACCATGGGCTGTGTAAAAGAAGGTGAGAACACACTAAAAACCTGCTTTCAATCAGCGTGTAGCATGGCTTTGAGACACAGCGTAATATGTTGAACATGGCAGCCATTGCTAAACACAAACATGTTAGCATCGTTATTGTGAGAATGCTAGCATGCTAATGTTAGGATTTAGGTCAGAGTACTGCTGTGCCTAAGTGCAGCCTCATAGAGCAGCTAGACATGGCTGCGCTCTTATCTACTTTTCAGTTCTAATCTTGTTGTCCCCTTTATGCTATTTGTCTGTGACTACCTTTGTTGGTTAAGACACTCCTGATAAAGCGGTTTTTAATCTAAATGAGGTTTTCCTGGTGGTTTCTGATCTGAATGAAAGCTTCCTGTTTAAATAACTCAAATACAAAGACATTTTTTTTATATTTAAAAGTGAGCACTTACAGAATATAAGCGATGACCCCAATAGACCAGCAGTCCACAGCTTTACTGTAGGGCTTCTGAGCTAAAACCTCAGGAGCTGAAACAATGACATTTTTTTAACTAAAAAACTAATATTCATCAAGTGAAACAATGCAAACAGATTATGACCATTCATCATGACACAGAGGCTGGAGAAGAATGTGAATGTTTGGTGGGTTGCCTGCAGCAGATGGTTAAGGTCAACCTGTGGCTACTGGCAGATTAGATTAGATCATGTTTAGCCAACTAGTGCATCTAATTATCTCAAAATAAATTTCCACCAGAGCTTAGAGGGCATCCTCACCCACGTATCCTGGAGTCCCACAGGCGGTGGCCATGACATCACCTGTTCCCTCCATCTTTGACAAGCCAAAGTCGCTGATCATGATCTTTGATTCATCATGGGGGCTGAAGTACAAAAGATTCTCGGGCTGGAGATAAAAGGAAATAGTCAAACAAATAAATAAGTGTGCCTTTGTTTGTCTGTCTGTCTAGATTAAACGAAGAGTTGGGGGAAGTTTTACGTCTAATCCAAGAGGTCGGTTCAACAGTTTTACCCAAGAAGGAAAATCCCTGTCATTTAACCCATGTAAGTGATCCTCACCTAAACGCTCAAGTAATGTCACTCACACAGGTTAAATAGCAGGGATTTCCCCTCTCACTAAGACTGAAGAGTGGCAAAACATTTTCAACAACAAATGCAATGGATTTTGTGAGGAACTATGTTAAGACTATGAATATTAACTTTGGTTGAACCTTTAGGTCTCTGTGCACAATGCCCATAGAGTGCAGGTAGTTGACTGCATCTAAAACCTGTCGAATGAGCCGACTGGCATCCATCTCGGTGTAGAAGCCTTTCTCTACGATGCGGTCAAACAGCTCACCTCCAGACACCCTGTCAGCACACAGAAAACACCACAACAATGGTTAATGTCATGATACTTTATTTTTAATTCAGTTTCATTTAGTGTAATATCAATATATTACATAATCACTAAATGATTGATTTAATGTAAAACATCGGATCTTTTTTGAGCTCACACACAGAATAGACAGCTAGCAGAGCCAGAGGAGATCACTGAATTTGACAAAACGACTTGTATTGGATTACAATCGCGTACCCAACCTTTAACCCACATGGGCTTTATTCCTCTTTGTAAAAGCAATTTATTCTTAGTTTTGTAGACACTTTTACACTCAGTCTTTGATCCTGCTCCACAATCCCAATCAGGATCCCCTGATTCCCCACTTAATTTAACTCAAGCTGATTGTTTATTTACGGTCAGGGCACCCAAACTCTAAAAACAGCCTCCTGGTTGAAATCAAACTCACTGACTTTCTCTAAATGGAGTCTGTGGTAGGTGGTCTTTTTAACTGTGACGCACTATGTAACTTTGTTTTTCAATGTGTTACATAAATAAAAGGTTCTAATCATTACTATGACACAACAGTGACACTGGTACATATACAGTACGTGAGGTGGATAAATGAATAATATGGTACAGTAGTTTGTAATACTTTTGTTTGTTCTTTACTTTATCTGTTACAGGTTTTGAGGCTGTAGTTTACAGTGTTGTTAAATCAGTCAGTGGCACACACTATTTTTCCAAAGGCAGTTTTTCCATATTTAGTCATAATAATAGTCATGATTTTGGAGACCTGTCCCTTTGTCACATTATGTAACTTGCAGCCGATGTACCAGCAATGCTTCTATTTCAACTATCTTAAATCACAATTACAAAAGGTAAAGACACAACAAGTGTCAAACTCATATCAAATTGAAGCTGCCTTCACAGACGACTGGCATTCACCATTTTTATAGTTGAGACTTTAACGGACCTTGCAGAGGTACAATGAGCAGATAATTGCTGCCTAAATTGCTGGTGCATTAGTCACAAACACTGAAATGATGCTGTGAGGGGAAAGGTCTCTAAAATCATATAACATTTGCCACACAGGAAAACAGTAATAGCACAGAGAAAGAATTGTCACACACACACACACACACACACACACACACACACACACACCTTAACAAACACTGACTGAAATACATTTCACGAGATATTTGCGACATAAACAAAACTTTACAGCCTCAAAAATACAAGCTCAAGCTTTCAGAGCTTAAAAGAGATATTCTTATACCCTTTCGTGCCAAGAATTAGTGAAGAGAAGCTCGATACCACTCTGATGTCTGTACAGTGAAAGTAAAACTGGAGTCAAAAGACAGATAGCTTAGCACAAAGACTGGAAGGATGGGGAAATGGCTAGCCTGTCTGCATGTCCGTAGGTTAAAAACAGTGTGTGTGTGTAAAAACAACATGTTGTGGGTTTTATGTAGGGTTATGTGCCTGACCATTTCTTGTGCAGGTGCAATGACTTCTTGCGGTCTCTGCTAGTCGCTGTAAAGACAAGGTGGTAGGCTGAAATGACACGCTTGCTGAATTTGTACGACATGAACTAAAATTAAAACATTTCACTATCAGTTACAATTCTCTATATTAATGTTACCTCCTATTATTTTAAATATTAAGAAAAAGTTAACTGTTTAAATATTCCTTGTGTCACAAAAATGCTCAAGCAAAATTTCTGGCTGCCTGGAAAAGCCGCAACTTGGGAATTCCAGATGGTTAGAAGAATCTGTGAGGATCCTGGAAACTTTAGAGAAGCAAAAAGTGATTCTAAACAACCTTATGGGTTTTTCATAGACTGTCAGGTATTTACTTAACTCTTTACTTAAAAACAGATGCTTAGCTCTGTGACTCACATTTATTAATAGTACTAGTCAGTCCGCCACACGAACCCCCCATAAAACTGTAGCGCGTTGTTTTAACACTTTCCAGTACTTGTGCTAAACTAAGCTAACTGGCTGCTGGCGGTAGCTTTATATTTAGCAGACAGTAGTAAGAATGATATCAATCATCTCATCTAACCCTTGAAGAAGAATATTTCGAACTCCGTTATTTGCATATCTTGTTCATCTCGTTCATCTTTAAAGCATCGCCATATTCACCCATCACATTCATCTGGACATGACTGGAGGCGCAAAAAACCCCCCCCAAAAAAACCCACAACACATTATCGAAACAACTGGACAAATGGGAGACAAAGTGCTGACCTAAACTAATAATGTGATGGGTTGTACTTACAGCTGCATTATGAGGTACAGGTGGTTTGAGCTCTCGTAGATGTCCTCCAGAGCCACAATATTCTCATGCTTTATCCTGGAGAGGGAGAACAGAAAATTCACTTTGCTTGCTGTCCACCTCGGTTTATTTCAGCACAGGCCACTAATGAGGTGAAATTAGCCATTTCTTTTGTTGAAATGATGCCCTGCCAACTGAAAACTAAATGTTTTTTGCTTTCTGTTACAGCACACGACCCGTGTTTAGAGTGCGCATATGTGTATGTTCAAAATGAATCTGGCAAAGTTTACGCTGTACAAGGTAGAAAAACCTTTTCTATGTAATGGAGAGTGGGGAGATTCTTAGAGGATGCTAGTCAGTGAGTCATGAAAATGACAAACCCCGTCAGCAGGAGCACCTGAAGAAAATAATACAAGACTGATCACGATGCTGGGAGTCTGTGTCCAGGTAACCAACCAACACGGTTTTAGCCTTAAAAAAAAAAAAGACCTGTGCCAGAGGATATGTAGATGACAGAACGTGTTCACAAGGGCAGGTGGCTGAAAAGAAAAAGCTGGGGGTGGAAGACAAGGAGGCGGGGAGTCTCAAAGGACTAAATAACCTTCACAACTTCCTTTCTTAGTCCAGAACAAAAATAAGGTTGCAGTTTGAGGGCAGTTAGACAAAATAAGGGGTATGAAGAGAGGGAGAAAAGGAGATGAGAAATCCAGACAGAAAGAGAGAGAAAAAAATAGGAAGTCAAAAGATAGCAACTGTAACCAGGCAACTACACCCAACCACTGGCACTCACTTCAAGAGTGACTGATAACTGAGCTTCTCGGGGGAATTACCCATCAGGCCCTGGAGGAGGATGGAGTGTCACCTGGTGTCAAAGCAATCCTATCATACCCTGTGTGAGTGTGTCTGTGCGCAGTGAAGACCCAAAATGGTGGACAGATAGGATTTGACAAGGAAGTCACTTAAGCCTGACAATGGCTGTTAAATAAACTGAGTGGCACCGGCATCCAAACTCTGAGTCATTTCTGGAGAGAGAGAGACAAACACAAGCTTCCCCGAGGACGCCGCGAGGTGGTGACCCTTTCTAAAGTGGTCGTCTTCTTCTCCTGCAGACTCCCCGGAGGCTCAGTCATGTGGTACCTACTTCCTAAGCACGGCGATTTCATTCTCGATGCTCGTCTCCTTCCCCTTCAGTGCTTTTTTCGGGATGCACTTGATTGCGACCATCTTTCCTGTGGCCTTTTCCCGAGCCATCACCACTTCAGAAAACGCACCGCTGCAAGAGAGAACGAGAAACACGTTAGTCCCGCTTTATGTGCGCTCTGGCAATATTGACACAGAAAACCCCATCGTCACTGAGTAGACTGAGGGCACTCAGAGGCAGACAGGCCAGAGTACACAAACAGCATATTGTGAATATTTACTGAGAACTGGCAAAGTCCCTGACTATAATGGCCAACAGCCTTCTGCCTTGGCTTACGCCTGGTGCTCTTGTGCAGCCAAAAGCACGGCAAACACTTTTAAAACCTCTAAAAAAAAATAATAATAAATAAAAAAACACCCATTTAGGACAGCAGATAGGGTGTCCTCCTTGGCCATCTGTCTCCATACACGAGAGCCTTTAAAAACAAATATGGAATTAAGGGAATATTTGCTCAAGCAATCTGTGTCTGTTGCTATGATACCACATTCAGTCCACCTTAATAAATCTCACTGAGCAGGCAGCATGATTGTTTTTGTTTTTTTCTTGTTTTCATTACACACCTTCACAGGCACATTTTCCCCCCATTCATGAGAGTTCATGTTTTTGGACTGCTGCTGTCCTGCCCAACTTCATTCTTACCCAATACATTCTTCATCAGCTCTTCTGCTTAGGATGCGTAGTTTTCCCACGCATCTTCACTACAAATCTCCACTATTAAATTGTCTTACTTTTTGCTCTTTCTTCATGTTCTTTCTTCCTCAGCATTTTAATGTTTAACAGCCTATACATAAAGTGTCCCCCCCCCCCAAAAAACTTTACTTCTATTGATAATTTCAAGATGAATGAGTCTGTTGACATGGGCCTGTTGACACATTTTTAATAATACTTTCCATATTCTTCACATCACAGTCTTGGGATGAAGATCAGTTTCTCCATAGAGTTTACTTAATTTACAACTGCAGTCGTTCTTGTTGGAGTGTTTGCCAGAAGCCAATTCTGTGTGAAAGCTTTCTTGCTAGCAGCTAAAAGTATTAGATACAAATATTTATCCTTTGCCATATGTGATTTTGCCCAGGTATAAGGTAACTTCTAATCCAAATGTTTTCATTATCATAGTAGTCTTTTGCCAATATATAAGAAAATAAAAAAGGGTAACCTGGAAGTATGACAATGGAAGTCATCACTTTAGACTGGCACTCCCTTCTGCATATGTTTTCTCCCTTTTTGACATCCGGTTTAATTGCTGAAATAAGTGTCTTGTTGTATCGTCATCAGTTACATTCGTTGCAAAAAGCAATACGGTCAGGATCGAAATATCCATTATGTTCTCCAAGTTTAATCAGTTCCTCCAAACAAGCTATAAACTCAGGGCTGCTCGTTGCACTAAATCCCACAGGGGCCCATCAAATCCATGCTAATCCCTTACTCCACCATCGCACCGGGGGGAGGGGGGGTCAGTCTGAGCCATGACACATAAATACAGACTAGTGCACAAACAAACTACCTGGTCACAAAGCCCAGCCCTAGGTGTGATAAAATGGAACACACTCACCACAAACAAACAGAACTAGGAGGGCCTAGAGCGTACGCCCTTCTGACTTTGACCTCATTCTGTGGGACTATATGTAAATTTAGGGGCTTGTGTAAGTGATTGAGTTGGTGCACCACTTGCTTGCCTGTTACAGCACTATCTTCCCACCACAGCTGTTGCCATGAGGACAATGAGCATAATTTCTATTCAGCGCATGAGACCAGTTTCCAGTCTCCACAGCTGTGTGGACTTGAGGAGGAAGACAGAATTCCTCCAACAGCACGCTAAGCCCGTCAAGCAACTCTCTTGCTCGCTTTCTCAGAGCATGCTTTCTGCTGTCTGCAGCAGGAGACACACACAATGATTACAACCACAGGAAACATGAGAACACACTGAGAGGGTGGTTAGAGCCTGTAGCACCATTTCTGTCCCCCTGCTCACCACATTGACAAGCAGCAACATCACTTCCTGTGAATGACAACACGACAGAACCCAAGCCTGTGACTTCCCTCGCTCTGTCAATGCACCAAGCATGACAAACTGTGCTGCAAGCTCTAGAGTTCAATCTATTAATTCCTAATTTACAGGAAAGAAAATGTGTGATGTCTGCTAGAGACACACACACACACACACACACACACACACACACACACACGAGCTGGAACTAGTTGATCAAAAGAAAAATGTATCTGCAACTATTTTGATAACCTATTAATTGTCATTTCTCAAGCAAAAATGCCAAACATTTGGTGCTTCCAGGTTTTCTAATCTGAGCACCTGGTGTTTGTGTCGCATATAAATGTGAATGAAATATTTTCTGGTCAGGGCTAGGTAGTCTACCAGACTAAATGATGAATTAAAAATTAAAATAAAAAATACATAACTCAACAACCTCAGCACACCAAATTCATCTCTGGTAATAAACCTAGATGTGATCTACCACAGCATGAAGTGATGAGAGAAAGCTCCATAAAAATTAGACCATTTATTGAAGCTTATCTCAATCTATTACACAAGATAAATATGATTGTATGGCAGCAAAATGTTTCTGGCCCAGTGTCGCAGACTGCACAATCAAGCCAGCACACTGACTCACTCGGTTGAATAATAATTGTTGAATTTTAAGTTCTGTCCAGAGCCAGAGAGCTCCCTCTTCAAGGCTCTCTTTGTGCGTGTGTGTGTGTGTGTGTACGCACGTCACACACCACCACCACACACTATATGCAGGATGGCCAAGCCAAACTGGCTGACTAATGTGAAATGTGAATGTGGGCTGTTCTCTGTGTGAAACTGACAGATGATGCTACAGATGCAAAGCGAAGCCCTGTATCAAACAATCATCCAGAAAACTTTTTCTAGGCCATGACCTTAGCTGGTCATCCTTGGTGATTATGAAATCCAAGGAATGGTTGATGGAAGACCTTTTTTTTTTTTTTTTTTTAAATGGTGGAGGTCGGGGTCTCGACGACTGAGGCTGGCTTATCGACATTCAGTGTTCACAGGTATTGTGGTGCTGCTGAGTAATCACACTGAATCATCTTGTGTAAGATGCATTACAGCGGCCCGTTACACAACATATGGGAAGGAAAAGTCAGGCCTTGATAAACCAGGTAGAGCTACCACCAATGTAACCTACTGTGTTCAAAGTCACCCTTCAGCGGTGCACAGCTTTACCCAGAAATATGACGGATTAAATGATCTATGCTTGCATAAAATGCAAGTTAAATGAATGTATACAGTTTGCGAAGGAAATTCAAAGGTGAAAGCAAGCAGGCTCCCTCGATTATAAATGTACACTAAAATCCAGAGGCAGACAGATACTGGATATTTGGGACCATCACTGATTATCTTAATCACAAGTACAAAGATTCTGATGCCAGATTATTGTTATATGCATGTACAGTAAACAGAATTTTACAAAATTTTAGTTAAGATCCCACAAATTTGGAAAGAAAAGTTGGTGGTAGATCATTTTACAGTTAAATAAACACTTCATTTTAAAAAGACTTCACACCACCATCTGCTCATCTGTAATATGGTACTCCGTCTCCTCAGAGGTTTGTAAACTGACAGTTTCTAACTACCAGGCACACACTTCATTATATGAGGAGGGGGTTCAAACCCCCAAACTTCTTGGTATGTAAAATCTGTAGTACAGAGCTGAAAAGATTAGCAAACAAATTGATTGACAAAGAAAAACTTTTTTGCACTATATTTGCTGTCTTATTTGAGAGTGAACTGAATATTTTTTGGCTTTGGAGTACTGTTAAATCAAGCAATTCAAAAGATGTCACCTCAGTCTTAACACCACTGATGGACATTGTATAGACTAAAAGCAAATTGACAGATTTATAGATAAAAATAATCCCTGAAAAAGCATCTTTCATATAAATGTAGAAAAAAAAAAGCACAAGTTGTATAAAATGGCAGCACTCTATGTATGAATACCTCAAAATTGTACTACTTGTCCACTACTGCACAGGAGTAATGTCATCAGTTCAGCATCTTATCTGTGGTGCCAGACTAACAGTGGTTTTCTGTCCTTCCAGGTAGTAAACTGCATTGATCTGGTTCTACAGAGTTGAATCAAATCTAAATGAAATGAAATCCTGCAGCTCTTTACAATCCCAACGACTGAAGCTGGAAACCATTACCCAACAGCACAAGACCTGAGGCTACCTTCAAGGAATGTGTTGATCAGACAGAGAAAGATGGTCCGTTTACAGGCTGATAACAGCTAATGCCACTCGTGAATATCGAACAAGGGAAAATATAAATCGCTTGAGGGAAATGTTTGGCAAAAATCTGTCCCAAGCCACAGATCAGCCCGTCAGAGAGAAGCTGAATTATTTTAATAAGGGTGATTACTGCCTCCAGTGCTCTGATACAGGGCAGCCAGGTGCACTTCAACTCCCTGAGTGCAGAGGATAGTTCATTATGGTGCTGTAGGCATCCACTGTGTTGAGAGGGACATGGAACAAAAATGGAAGCTCAGAATATTACTACGCATAAAACATATTACTCATCATTTTGGTAAATTATTTGACTTGCCATCATTATGGTCAATGACAAAGTATCTCCTCCTACAGTAAACTGAGCTGGAGGACAATGGTGAAGGGAAGTGGTAGGTGATGTCTTCTTCAGAGGGAGCAACTAAGGATTTCCATCATCCTAGTTGCCTAGCTGCCATTTTCACTGCATCAAGGACCCATCTAGTTTCTACACAAGCTGTGCTTCAGAAAATTACCAATGCATGGAGGCAACAGAAGTCACCTTAATACATTACAAACAAGTAGGGCTTTGTCAGATCCAGGGTTTAGTTTAATATCTGTTGTAGAGGCCTGTTTATTCACTAATATCAAACTCAGAAAAAAGGTAATTTTCCTCTTTGTTGGCAATAAGAATAAAAAAGCTGTAGCAATAAGTGACCTGAATGAGTAAGCTAAGCTCTGTTTGGACCAGCCGTGGGAGCCAACAGAGGACAACTGTGACACTTTAATCTCACAAAGTGGGATTCTGGAAATACATGAACCTGGAAAACATCACTTTTGGACTGCTTTTTAGCCGTGATACTTATGTAAATAAATAATACATGCATTCCTCAAATTATTCAGCTAAGTGAAGAACGTCGTAAAGCCCAATCCACACTGGATATTCATATCTGAGAGTTTGTATTGATACATAATGACATACAGTATATAACTACAGTTCCCCTCAGGTCTATAGAGCATTTTAGCATCTTTCAGCACAACTTTCCTGTTTGGGTTCACTCTCACTGCTCTCAGAGCATCGCTTTCGTCCATAACGCTTTCAGCCACAGAGGGCAGCTGTTTTCAATGAAAAAGCTCCAATAACTCAATGTACACTTCCTGCTCAGCACCAAATGGCAAACACAGTTAGCGGTGACCATAGCTGCAAAAGAGACGGTTGGTGTTGGACCAAAAACAGAGCTAAAAGAGAGTGACTATTGGATTAATCAGAAACTCGACTCCAAATGACTGATAATATAGCTCTGTCACTATGTCACATGCAATAAGCTATTTGTTCAAAAGTTCGTCTTATCAGCTTAATACATTATCTTATGTCAGCATTTTTGTTTACAGCTTGTTTCTGAAGAGCTGTACCCACTAAAAGTACAGACAACATTTTATAGTAAAAAATAAATTGATTCTTACTGGGGGACCAACGTATGTAATGGAGACACTGTTTCTAGTTTATCTCAAACATATCTTGCCATTTCTGTGCAATAGTGTGCTTGTTATTTATTGGCCGAAATACACCGATAATATATTGATGACTAATATATTGATGTATCAGCCAATTCAATTATTAGTATGACTGCACTGATCCGAAATACTGTATCAGTATCCACAGTGATACTGAGCTGTTAAAGCAGATGTAGTATTGGCCATGATTAAATACAGTGCCTTTGTCAATGTCATCAGCAAATTCTGTGTTTCCACCATCCATAAAATGTTGAAGTCATGGCAGTCACTGAAGCAGTATTTCAGTTTGTCACAGCAATCCCACACCTCATGTCAGCCTATGTAACAAATATGCTAATGAGTTCCATGTTTGGGGGAAAAAAATGGTATCGGAACAGTGCTTAGTATAAGTATGTTTTGTTTTTTTAAGTGTATCAGACAAACATCCCCACTGTGAGTAGCAACCCACTTCATGTTGCACATTTATGACACCTGCCCTATTAGGATCGCTGAAGGGACTTGTGGTCAGGTTACTTAATTTGCTCCCACAGAGCATCAACAGCTTAACGGTCTGAAATTAGCTCCAAAGCAAGTGGTGGTGGGGCAGGAGGAGTGGCTTTAGTGGCGAAGATCTCATTAGTTCACAACTGCTCCTGTAAGAAAATACGGGGAGGTGGAAGTGTGGCCAAAGCATTACTGACACCGATGAAGGCTTCCTATTCCCAAACGCAGACAATATCTAATCAGTCTTAATGTTCACACATACACATGCAGTCTGGCCTCCAGCTGTTGATGAGATCAAATGCTCTCTTTTTCTAGGATGTTCGTGCTAATGTGAACCTTTTTTAAATATTTGCAACCAAATGTTTCAGAACCTGAACAACTATGACCCTCACAATCATTTTATCTCAGAGGTGTGAATGTTGAGGTGTGCAACAGTGGTGGAAAATATCTTAAGACCCTTAACTTGAGTAGAGGTAGCAATACCACACAATAAAAATACTGCATTTAAAAGTATCAATAAAATCAGTAAAATAAAATCAGAAAAATGTTCTTAAAGTATATGAAATGCAACAGAATGATTCATGTCAGTATTGTTTCTATTTGATTATAATTACTGATTTTAATGTTGTAGCTGGTCGGGGTGGAGCTAATTTTAACTTCTTTAGACTTCGGGGTATTTAACATCTATAACACTGCATCATATTTTCTAATCTAAGAAAAGCTTTAGTGTGTAAAATCTTAATCTGCAATGTAGCAGTGATAAATGTAGTGAAGGAAAACACTTTCCTCTGAAACGTATGAAGCAACATAAAATGGAAGTACTCAAAGTAAAGTACCTCAAAATTGTACTTAAGTGAGTAAATTTACTTCCACTGCCGGTCTGTGGAGAGCAATGACTGTTGCTCGGAAACTGCTGGCACATGGACGCTGCAGAGGGATGATCCATCTTGGACACTGACGGCGAAACCTGATGAGGAACCTACTGTTGAAAGGAGGAGCAGTAGCAGGAGGATAATCTATGTCTCTTCCTTTGGCCAACAGTCCCTCCATTTTTAATCCTCAAGCAAAGCTGCCGGGCTGCTGGGCTTGTCTTCCCCAGGTGGCATGTTGTGAACCCCACTGTGTGGCAACAAGGCACTCCCTGATTATCACACACAGGAACTAGGTAATGGGACTTACTTAAAGTTAATCAGGATGTGTGCGAGCTGTACAATACGCAACATAAGGGCCAAGCAGTGACAAACTGGAAGTGCATTGAGTTGTGTGCGAGGGATATATGTTCCTCCAACCTGGCCATTGTGTGGACAATAAATCTTGATGATTCATTGGTGTTCACACATAAACAAAAGCCTTGGGGAATTCAGACCAAGCCTCCAGGTAGGAACATCTGACTGTTTAGTACAACAGCTGAAGTGTCGAGTGTGCTTCATGTATCACCAATCTGTATCTGACAATTTTATGGATGCTGCTCCTCAAGTAAAACAGGTCAGCAGTCATGCCGAGCAGCACCGTTTCACAAAATGAGAAGATGATAAAGATGGCAAAGGAGAGGATTCTTAGTTTACACAAGATGAGACAGTATTATTACAAGAGCAAGCCACCATGTGTCTCTTATCATCTATGAATGACCAGCTTCCCTGTTTAGCATTAAACCAGGGCAATCGCAGGCCATGTTTGCTCAGATTGACACTGCTTTCTGAGTCCAAATAAAAAAAACAAACAAACACTTATTTACCCAGGGAGATTTCTTTTTCAACACGGCCCTTCCGTGAATCTCAAAACAAAAAAAACAAAAAAAAAACACATCCCCACCTTAAATTCCTCTCAATCAGGGGAGGACAGACATGTCTTAATAAAAACCTAGCAGGAAAATGAAATACACTCCATTAAATGTGTGATATCACCTAGCAGACGAACACAAGACTGACTGCTTGAGATTGAGCCATAACAGCACAGCCGAGCTTTGACCAGTTTTCTTTAGGTTCCATTCAGGGGAACACTTAGGCTGTCTTTCTGCAGCATGACTTATTCAAAGAAGAAAAGACATTAAGTCAAGCAGCACTAAAAGCAGACCAAAATAAACTCTGGAATGTGTCTGCTCTGTGGAGAATAACTTCAACAGAAGGTGGACCCTAAACAAGCCAAATGAAACAAGAGCTGCTGAACAGTTACTGTACAAACAACTATCTGTGTGTAAACCCTGACGTGCTGTTTCTCATCTAAAAATCTGTTCGTCTGTTTGAAGAAGAAAGAAAGAGATTAGGCACAAGAACATAAAGTCATCACAGATGTTTCCTTAATTTGGGAGCTGATTTCATCAATTGTGTATGCAAATAGGTCCTGCTGTCTTTGTCAGAGTTGTTATATTGTACAGACTCGACCCCAAAAGCCAATCGCTGCCTGAACAAAGCTCCGTGTACATGCCTCAGCCCTGTTCTGACCTGAGGGATGGAAAACACGCTGCAGTAGTTTCTGAATGAACTGTGACATAACGAGGGGCATCACGCGTGTCTGATTTCACACATTATTGAGTCTCATGAAGCATTATTTCCACTCCCTTAACAATTAACAGATGATGGTCCTGACTGAATCTCTTTTACAGGGCTGTAAGTTCAAAAGGCGCTGTCTCTTTCTGTCGCTGTCGAAATCAAACGAATATTCAACAGCTGTCAGTCTGCTTTTCATTTCCGTTCAAACGGCACAATGAGACATTGTTGTCTGACGCTAATTTACACAACTGGATACAAAGTTTCTTGTCGCATTGCAAGGCTGCGTTATCTTGTTACTCACGTCCCAAGGACTTCCTTGAAGTCAAATATGTTCTTGATATCATCGACATGCTTTTTCCAAGATCCATCGCTGGACTCGCCGTTTTCTTTCGCCATTTCGCAGCGGGGTGGGGGGAGGAATATAAGAGACGCTGCTGGAGGATCACCACGGTCGTCTCATCCAGCCCCCAAAAAAACAAAACAAAAAAAAAAAAGACGAGAAAAGAAAAGTAGTGCACTTCTGTATTTCGCTTCAGGCTTCCAGGCAGTTTGTCAATGCAGACAATGTTGCTTTCTCAGCCCATGCATGCAGCCAGGCAAGCCCAATGAGGGGAGGTATGTCCTACCCAGAGAGGTTATTTGACTAATCTGTTTGACGTATCGGAACACCGAGCTTCCCTACTGTTCAGATCACTGTGACGGGGAAACACAGGCTCTCCCCCTCCTCCTCCTCCTCCTTTTTCACGGGCGGGATTCAGTGAGTGGCAAGCGGCGATGCGGTGAGTTGAGGTCGGGCTGCTTGCAGGATGTCACTTGGCAATCGCATCCAAGCTGCTGAGCCATCGAGTCACACCGACCGCCCTGTGGTTGTTATAGCAATAGGAGGAGTGGGAGGTTGCTGCTCCCGCCTGTCTATCTGACAGCGTGCACAATGAACGATATAAGTGTTCGCATTGCACCAAATCACCGGCCCGGCTCGAACTCCGCGTGGACTGACCAGTGTCAGGGTCTGTTTCTGCTGAAATACATTTCCACATTTCAGCCAAGTCTCGTTTATGTGTCTGGCTGCTGCACAAACAGATGCTTTTATTTAAACGTGTTGAAATTTAAAGGCAGGGGCGTTGCTAGGAGTTGCCTAATGGTGGCCCATGCACAGTGGGTGACCCTTGGCCCCCCCTTCCAATTCCCTCAATATTTTGTCTGTTTGTATCCTTGTAGATGCTTCAAAATCAGTATAGTGTACACTGGGTCCCAGGCATAGACTGGACGTCACCCATTGGTTTGTGGACTAGGCCTATCTTTTGAAGCCTGAAGTTTTGACTATCGCCATCTTGGTTTTTTGGAACCAGACGTGGATGTGACAATGGCTGTTCGAAGTGGGTAAAAATGCTATTTCAGGAGGTGTCTTAACAGGACAGTGAGGCATCGAGTGCTGTTCGAAATGGATCGAACGATCTTTTACTGTCTCGTAAGATGCCTTCAAACTGCCCCCATCGATGCTGACTTGATGCTGCCTATTACCCATAAATCTGTGTGCGGTAGCAGTAGCCTAGCTCACGAAAAATGGACAAGATGGCGGACAAACAAGCCGAAATTCGTTTCCAGATATAAGTTTTTTCTCTTCGATTTTTGAAAAGTTATCGAGAACTATCACATTAGCCAGTGACTACAACCAACCAAGTTTGTTTAGCTAGATTTTTGAGGTGTCTTGTAGCCATTTGCCTGATTAATAGCTAGCTAGTTGAAGCTAAGGCTGGTGACTGACAGCCAGAGGAGACACAAGACATCCTAAAGACAAGACATCCTAAAGACAAGACATCCTAAAAGGCTTTTTGAAACCAGTGTTCATAGAGATGTCTTTCCTCGAAAGTGATGCCTTCTTAGGCACCTATCTATTATGGCAGCGAGGCAACTGCCTTCTGTTACAAACTGAGTCTTTTTGGACGAGAGGGGGAAGCTAGCTTGGTTGGTAAGGTGCATCCGTAACTTATGTTAACTGTGATATCAAGGCTACTTACCAGATTGAATAGCTATTCCTTAGTGTCTTTTAGTACAACCGAATGCTGCACAAAACATTTTTAGGGGATCAAAATGTTAGTTAATTTTCATAAACTGAAAACCCTGTGAAAGGGTCAACATTCTTATACGAAACACCGGCAGCACGCAAAAACAAGTTCACGGATAGTAGCAGTAGCAGCAGCAGGTCAGCCACCTTAAGCCTAGTTCACACTACATGATTTTTAGCCTGATTTGCCGCTCGGCGAGTTCAGCAACCGTCAGGCTGTGATCGGGAGTAAATCCGTGGTTGATCGTCGTTATGTATGTACTACTCAATAACGCATCTAAACGGCTCCCCGACACATTTCTGACACATCACCGACGTCTGCCAGATATCCCGCATGCCAAATATCTGGCGGAGTCGGCCGACTTGACATCCACATCCAGCCAATGACAGCAGGCAGCTGGCAGCTTTTTATCATCGCAAAACACTTTTTACTCCCCTCAGCTCTCTGTAGCACTGACAGTGTGCTAATCCATTCTTTCAGATTTTTTGTCTTTATAATTGGTATCTTTATAATAACAAACAACAGCTGTTTCGTGTGTAGGTTGTTTCCCGTTTCACATTTCACGTGTGTTTTCTTGACAAAACGTGGTTTGGAGACCAGCGTCGGGTGACAGAGTCGCTGTCAGCTCGTGTAGTGTGACCCCCTGTCACCGATCAGTCACATGGTGTGAACGCCACAACGACTTCCAGACTCCTGTCACAAGACGGCAAGTTGTGTAGTGTGAACGGCTCAGCCATCGCCCGATGCTGAAAATCGTGTAGTCTGCACAAGCCTTTAGCTTTACCTTCGGGCGTAGAAAGAGAGGGGTGAGCAGTGAGTGAGCCTTTGGTTGCAATTTGCAACCCTCACCACTAGATGTCACTAAAACTTACACTCTGAACCTTTAAGGATGATTGTTCTATAACAGAATAACTTAGGGATTTTAGTTTACTCAAATTACAAAGCACTCGAAAATGGTACTTAAGAGTACTAAATGTAATCATGTTGCATAGATTAATGTAAGCATCAGTTAAGAAAAGTTCAACTAGCCTATTGCATATGTGCACACAATGCCGTAAAAAGCTGTTTGTGTCTCCAGAGGGAGCTGTGTGAAGTTTTATAAATTGCCTCATGTCACCAGAGTCAGCGCCGGCTGTGGCTGACGACTACAAGTATGAAAAACTGTTGGGGTGTGCAGTTAAAGTAGTCCTGTAGTCCACTCCTCGTTGCGTGTCTAGCGGCTCAAGGTTACATTAGTTGCTTCTTGCATAACACACTAAATCTGACTGACCAGTTAGCGACCAAGGGCCATTGTGAGTAATGTAGGCAGCAGGTTTTGACAAGGAACAAATGTTTGGAATAAAGAGATATCTCTGGTTCTGCAGCATTGATTGATCCTTTTTTAACTGTCCATCATGAGACCGACAATGTTATAGGATGTGAAAGCCAAATCGGTGGAATTCTCTTTAAACGGATACTTGCATGTCAGAGTTGTAGATTAGCTTTTGACAGCTCGTGGAGAGTTACAGGCGTTAATTTACATCTAAAAACTACACTTTATCATAAAGCAAACAACTATCAATTTAAAAAAAACAAAATCCTGGTGTGTCAGCTCTTATACAAGCACGAGATCAGGAGAAAAGAAACTAATTATGCACAACGCAAAAAAATACATTTATTTGAAAATATTTCCATTTGAATATTCTGATTTGGTTTATTTACATTAGGCCTTTAATGCCTTCATTTTTTCAATTCAACTCTTTAAGCATGATTAAATAATTATAGCTATCAAGTACTTCTCTCAAATTTGTACCATGAAATGTTTAAATACATCTAACTCAAGATTGGACAAACATTTAACAGTCAAAATGGTAACAACTTTTTTTGTTCATTTAGAAATCCACTTAAAGTGCCTCAATTTAATGCTCAAAGATTTCTAACATTGTGTACTGATATTTCATGTTTAGAACAGTACAAAAATTTTAAACTCATGCAGACTGAATGCATGACAATACTTAACAATTTTGAACCCTGAAACGTGGAGGTCTTTCAGGTTTGACACAGGTTACTACGAGCTGCGAATACGATGGTCAGCTAAAAGTGCTTCTTCTACTACAATCACACTGTAAACATCGTTTCTAAGGCCTCCATTTGGATATGAACCACATTAGCAGTTGTATTCTTACTTACCATAGTGTTTTAAAACCGAACACATGAAAAATATGGACGTAGCAAATGACAGAAGGGGGAAAAACAGCCGGCAAAACCATAAACGTATTAAAACCTGACAATAAGGGTACAAGCACAATTATCATCACTATTCTCTTTAACACTTGCTTTATATTATTGACCAATTTATTTTTAAACCGCACAATCCACATCGTCTAAAAGGTCCCGTGTATCTGCCACGCAGCAGCCGAGCACATTTACCTACAATAGTGGGAAGATTACTGCAGATACAGTTTGTAATGTAGTACTGGTGTTTGTATACTGGCTATTTTAGTTTCCAGTTGTGGTGAGTCTTAAGAAAAGGTAGCAGTGAGGATGGCCTCTTGTTGCTGCTGATGGAGGGTCCCGATACCGACGGCAGGAGCGGGCAGAGCAGGTCGGCTCACTAATCGGAGCTGGGAAAGAGAGAGAAGACAGTCTAGTACGTGCGATATCAACAATTCATTTGAAAGCTTTACATTACCTGAAACACTGCTCACCTTGCAGTTCAGCTGCTTCTCAAACCTGGGAGCTACAAAAGACCAGGGACCCATGTTTTGAGGCTCCTCTTGACTCCACACAAACTCTGTAGGAGAATTTAAAAGATGTATTACATCAAAAGTAAAAGAGGCCATGATACACTGTTCTTTTTCAAAGCGAGTTCGCAGCAAATGTCATAGACCACTTTGGTTGATGTTCTTTTCCTGCCCGTTGACCACAGAGCAGAGAAATTCCAGATCAAACAGGAACTGGATTTACTTTAGTCTGTTTGGGGAGGTGAGAACAATGAAATAGTCGAAGTGAAACGTTAACTTTCAGGTTTTGTCCCGGAAGTAAGAAAACCTCATTCAGAATCACACTGGTAATTGTAATAACAAAACAACAACAACAACTTGGAAAATCATCACCAATCTTCACAGTATTTCAAGTGGGTGACTCCATTTGTCTAAATAGGGATCATACATTTAAAAGAAAGGCAAGAAATATAATATAATTTTTTAATATTTTTAAAGCTGAAATGATTATTTTTACTGAAAAATGTCCTTTAAAAAAAAAAAAAAAAACTGGTTCTAGTTTCTCATAAATGAATATTGTTTTACTTCTTCCTGCCTTCTATTTTACTCAACTGAATATTTTTGGTTGTTGGACAGCTGGTCCGACAAAACAAGGTGACCAATTTTAAAAAACTTCACGGTTATTAGTAAATTGATCCAGAAAAAAAATCATCAGATTTACTGATAATGAAAATAACTGTGTTGGAGTTCTATTAATATTGTTTCTCACTGCCTTTGAAAGGTGAGTTATGTGAATGAACAGGGAGGTCCGAACAGCCTTTCACAGGTTTGAGACAGCGAAGTTTAGAGCAAAAAAAGTTGGAAAGATGGCATTAAAGGGGAGCGTAGATTCCCTCAATGGATAAGGGAGAAACACTTAAAGTAAATTTAAGTACATGCACTATCTTACAGTTGTTGTTTAACTTAAAATCACACAGTGCTGTAGTAGATACTCAAGTCTCTTATGAAAAGTAAACCCCAGGAACACAGAAACCCTCGATGAAAAACTGCATGGAGTTACAAAAAATAGATGGAACAGCAGCGAGCCCACAAGTGATTTCAGAATTTGAGGTCTCTATGTGAAATTCTGTAAATTCATCCTCCTCCTCTGATGTTCCGTAATTATTCATCTTCACTAAGTGCTGTTAACAACCCACAAACACAAAGGATTTATGGGTAAAGAGAAGGATGCCGACACTGCTGACATCCGTAGTTCCTCATTCTTTTAAAGTCTTGCATAACAAAATAAAGCAATCAGTCGTAGTCTGGGTCGACACTCATTCTATTAGAAAAACACTTAATTCTTAACAATAGCCCTGCAGTGAACACCAGTCTGGTAAAGCTCATATTGTAAATTTTGTTTGTCAGATACACTGATGTGCTGGCATTTCTGGTTTCTTTATTAGTTGTAGAATATCTCGAGGACTCAATTATGCTAGAGGTGACTGTCAGACTTGTATTGAAGTTGCAGCACACTGAACCGCAGTCAGCTTACAATAACTCACTTGTGTCACTGCTTTTGTAATTGTTTTTCTGCCCGTTGCTTAAATTTACATGTTTGTATCACTGAGTGACTCTGGTCCCATTGAATCACTGAAGAAGTGTATTTGAGAAAAATCTCTTTCCTCCTGGTAAACAATCATAAAACTGAAATAACCCTCTGTTGTCAATAAAGGTAAAAGGTCATCACTTACTTTGAATCCCTTTCAGTGAAGCCTAAAAACAAAGCCAAATATCTATGAAGATTTTAACAACCTCATCAGCACAGGCAGACATAGGAAAATGTTACAGCTATGTATTATTAGCAGCCCAGACTACTGTAATGGTGTTTTTCTAAATTTCTCAAAAAAAGCAAAGTTAGGAGGATGAAAACAAAACAATTCTCTGCACCCTTTTCATATCTGGAAAAAACTTCCTATCTAAGGCTCCAGCTCTAAACTCTTAAGTCTTCTGTTTATTATTTTGTCTTTGTTATTTCATTTCAAATTATTAATTTTCTTTACCATTGAGACTGAATTGATTGTTTTAATGTATATTTAAGCTAAATGTAAAAAAACTATGAATTGCCTTTGAATCTGAAAAATACTAATATATATATATATATATATATATATATATATACACACATACATACACTTGTCTTGGCTGTCGTGCATCAGTCACAGACTGCAGTATTATCTAATATTGCAAAGGGAATATGGCATATGCAAAACACAGGAAAAGCATGTTAGCAAAGAGGAACTGTGAACACAAAGAGACTAAAAGTAAAAAAACAGTTCAATCAAGCCTAACATACACCTCTGACTGTCTAAATGAAAATCAAACATATAGTTTACTTATAATTTATCCAACAAGTTAGGGCTGGGCGATATGGACCCAAAAATCATATCCAAATACTGTTAGGCAGAATTGTGGTATGAAATATGTATCGATATTTTCAGCTAAGTGGGCTGAGGGGGTTGTTTTTTTAATTATACTTCATTCTCTACCTTAAGTGTCACTTATTGAAGCCTCCTTCAGTTCTCTTCACACTCACAGACCTAAAGTGCCCCGCTTCTTTCCGTCTCTCTCTCCCTGTATATCTGCTCTGTCTCCATCAGCAGTAGGCTACGTTGTATAAAGTTGCTGAAAAAACCCCCAGAACCTTTCCACCTGCGATTCCGTTCACAGCAGCAGCTGCGCTGCATGAATGACATCTGCACTGGTGTGTTCACTGTCACACAGACATGGTCTGCACTTGTAAAATATCCACCAAGTAGTTGTTTATCTTTTTACAAAGCAGGTCTTCAGCAGTGTCGACCGGCACTGTGTCTCCCTCCATGTTGTTAGAGTTTGTGAGTAGACAGCTACGTGCAGATGCAGAGGGAGGGGCGGGGCTGCACGGTGAGCGAGAGAGAGAAGCAAACGCTGGCAGGACTTTATGGAAACATTAATTAACTCAACATCAAACTATATTGGTATAAACAGTATTGTCTAATTTTATATCTCTCTTGAAATTATATCGGTATAGCTCATTATACCGTCCAGCCCTACAACAAATCATATTTATGTAAAAGAAAATACAAAACAACCCCCAAACATTATGTTTGACATTTTCCTGGCAAAAGTATTATTTAGCTAAGACACACAAAAAAAAAAACAGATTCATTGATATTGAAAATTGGGCTTAAAATAAAAATTATATAATTCAATATCAATAATTATCCCAATAAATTTCAAATCATTATTTCTTTCAAGTTTAAAGGCTGATGTTTGCTCCTGAGTGAAATTTTTAAACTATTCTTTATGATCAGAACATGAAAAACAATTGTCAAACAGTGGATCACTTAACAAATCCGAGGTAACATTCAAAATAATTATGATAAAATCACAGAACTTTTTTTTATTTTATTGTTTGTCTACTTCTTTGGTTTTTAACTATTATGAAGGCCAGAATGGTAATGGAGAGGAACACAGTCAGGTACTGTACTTCACACTGAAATGTTCACAACTGTGTGCAATGAATGAACAGAGTGATTAATTTGATTGGAGAAAGTGTTAATTTGTTTTTAAACCACCCCTGGTTTGCTTGTAATGTAGCAGTGCAAACCTATACACAACATACAGTAACGAACTGGAGTGACATTAAACAAACTGTTGTTGTAATGGCATTTAAAAGAAATCTGGGTGCCTACAAAGAGTGAAGGTGGGGTCCCACACGTACCTTTGGCATTGGGGTATTTTTTGAGCTCCTGTTGCAGAGCCTCCAGTGGGAACGGACAAAGCTCCTCCACACGGATGAGTACTGTGTTCTGGTTGGCTGCCAATGTCTCCCTCTGTTTCAGCAGAGCATAGTAATGCTTCCCTGAGCACAGCACCACCTTCTGGACACTGCATGGAATAAGAAGAAAAATGGTATTTAAAGAATGCTTTTGAAGCATCTTCCAAGTTTGAGAAGGTTTTAAGCACTATTCAAAATATGAAATAAAAAAGCTCTTGTTAAAGAAAACTAGACCATGAACAATTATTAAACTGCGCTCATGAGTGCAGTGTAATAATTCAAATGGCAGCATTTCAAGCTGCCATTTGAGTTATTACTTTAAATATACTTTATCTCACCTTTCTGCTGAGGCTAAAGTATCACCTAACACTGGCCTGAAAGACGTTCCTGGTGCCAGTTCAGCCAGACTGGACACCGCCCCCTGCCAAAAAGCCCAAATTTTATTCAGCCAGTGACACAGAAATATCTATAAAAATGAGTTGCAAATGTTTCTTCTTTACAATATCTACAGCGCTTACAGAAAACCTGAGCAGCGTCTTGGGTCCAACCACAATGAGAGGTTTGCGGAAATTACGGATCATCTGTCTCCTCAGCAGGTGGAAGTACTGAGCAGGAGTTGTGGGGTTGACCACGGCCATGTTCACATTGTCACCATCCACACCCTCTTCTTTACTGTCACACATCTAAGAGACAAAAGAGGACAAGTTAGCAAACATTTACAACTCAGGTAATGTGTAACACAACACATGGCCTGTAAATAATATCCTCTGTGCTGCATTACGTTCCTTTGTACTGAAAAAAAGCCAGCATGTCTGTACCACGACACGTGTCATATTCTTCACTATTCAAATCAAATAGCAATATCGATAGCATTTCTGAATTCCCAGTTTGTGGGTGCTATTTTGCTTATTTAGGTAATTGCACCAGCACATGAACACAGTGCACTGTGTGCCGCTTTGTCGCACTATGGACATCAGGGCTGCTGAGGTCTTTCTGGCACAGTGCAATACAGCTCTACACTAAGTATCTATCTACTAATAGTTATTGCTAAAATTATAAAGGGGGCCAAGGAACATTGGTCCACAAAGTTTCAGCTAAAAGTCTCTCCATGTTATTAGTAGTAATATACCTCAAAGCTACAAATAGAAAGGAGTAAAAATATAACCTGTGCTCACTGACTGAGGTAAAACATTAAACCTCCATGAACACTATGAGGTGCTTTTGGTTTATCATTGAGCAACAGCTGATGAATATGCGGGGTGTGTATTTATGCCGCATGCACATCATATGGGACGCATGAGAGAGATGAGAAAGGTTCCCATGTTTACGACTTGTGTTTGTTATCATCTAACAACTGAAGGCAGCTGTATGATGGCAAAGTTGGTTGGTTGTGTGAGGGGTAAGAAATACTGTGCGCTATATCCAATAAACTGGAATTGAATTACCTCAAACAACAGATTTGGGCTGAACCGAGATACCCATGTTTGTTTTATTTTCAGGCAGCAACGTAATATTAACTGCCGTATCTGACATATTGAAAAAATCTCAGATTCCCCTTTATAATTACAACTGGGATTGTTGACAGGAACGGTATTTTACACAAAATCAAGAACCGGTAACTTTGTTTGACATGAATGCAGCATTTCAGTCCCACAGACCTGGAGGAAGCGCTCCATATGGCAGGATGAGTGTTCAGGTCCGGCTCCATCGTAGCCGTGAGGCAGCAGGATCACCAACCCACTCTGTAGCAGCCATTTGGCTTCACCTGGAAACACAACAGTTTCACATCTGATGTAAGAAGATTATAAGATAATTATAGAAATTGTGAATCGATTGATTGCATCAATCGGGCGTTTACCTCCAGAGAGAAAGGTATCAAAGATGATCTGCGCTCCGTTGAAGAAATCTCCAAACTGAGCCTCCCAGATGGGAAGTAGCTTCGGCTGTGCGATACTCATACCATATTCAAATCCAAGCACTGCCTCCTCAGACAGCGGGCTGTTACACACCTAAATAAACACAAAGACGTCAAAATATGCCACATGAAGGGAGGAAATTTATATTTATGTAAGAACAAATATGAAGGAATGTCCTGATTTAGACAGATTATGTTCACATTATGTTTTATCTATTAAGGATTTTACCTCCAGAAAAGCTGTCTGCTGCGGACTGATGTGGTTTAGGGGGATGTACATGTCATTAGTGTCTTGACACACCACCATGGCATGTCGCTGACTGAAAGTGCCTCTTCCAACATCCTGTCCGCTGATTCGAATATTAAATCCTGTATGGAACAACAAAAATTTCAAATCTACAAATCCTTTTCTTATAAATAAATAAAAATCAACAACTCTTAAATTTCATTTGATTTGCATCTTCTACTTAACACTGACCTTGGGAGAGGAGGGAGCCGAAAGCCAAGGCCTCTGCTGTGGACCAGTCCAGTTTGGTCCCTTCTTCCAACTTGTTCAACCGAGCCTGAGTTCACAAAGGAGCAAAAAAAATAAAAAATCACCATCTAGCTGCAGCCATGTTAAAAACAGATAATAGAAATAACAGAGACTATGGCCACACCTGTACATGGGTCTTTCCAAGGTGGCTGTGCAGCTGGATTTGCTCAGGTATGTCCACAGATTTTGCTCCTACAAACTGCAGCAAGGGAACGGGTACACCTGTGTCCCATGTGGTGACTCTGGCCTGAGGTTCTACCAGATCCCCCCAGCGGCCCTGCAGGTTGGTGGGTGGAGGGCTGTACAGCGTCATGTTGGACAGCTTGTTGTTGAGCATGCCGTAGTATTTGGACTTGATCTCGTCGCGCTCAACGTCGGTCATCAGACCCTCAGAGATCAGCTGGTCTGAGTAAGAGTCAGGGACACTCTTACGGGATCTGTGAGGATGCAACAATGTCTGTTTCATTAATCTGTATTTTTTCAAGAACACAATATACACCGACCACAATGTATATGTGGGGAAATAATAGTTTTGGGAATCAACAAAATTACTGAAAAAGTGTTTTCATTTTACTTTACTTTATTTTGGAAAAAAGTACAACTATGTCAGTCGAGGTGCAAATTCTACTAGTACTTTTCTTTTTGATTGATTGTTTGTTTTTACAATGGATCTTTATGTGTACTTCCAAATGCAAATGCAAAAAAATGCTGTACTTACAAGTTTCCGATTGAAAGAGTTTATGGATATTTTTTAAAGGTTTACAATCATCAGATTGAATCAGAATCTTTTTGTAGGAACTTTGTCTCTTTGGTCAGAGTCCAAACATGCTAGTTCAGCATATAACATAGAAAAGCATGTTACTTTATAGCAGCTACAAAACTGTTGTGTGGAAGCAATTTATTTCTGAAGTAATGTTGCTGTGATCTGCAACTTACAATTGTTTTCTCAATTTAGGAATCTTTGGTCAGTATTCAATGTGATGTCTTTAAATAGAGGTTACACACTGAAAATCATCATCTTTAACTGTAGGTTACCATTCACAACAACAAATGTAAGTTTTTTTTTGTTAACAACAAGCTATCCATGCTACATGAGACCAGGAATGTAGCTTCAAAATACCATAACAGTGTATGCCTGACACAAGTATCCAGTATTCCCTCAGTTAAAATTTATATCTTTACCAACATAAATATTGTAAGAGACAGCTTTTAGACATGCCTGTCTTGATGCTAATTTGACAGCTGTATTAAGTGACAAACTCCTAGAAAAAGAAGCAATATAAAAGCTAAATCTGCAACGAGCCAATATCAAAAGGACTGGACTTGAATATTGGCTAATAACTGCTGAAATATTTGTGTCTCTCTGTGCGCCATCAGTAAACTTAGGAATCCTCAGAAATATGCTGTATATGCTACAGTTACTTTTAAAGTGAAAGTGACAATGTGTTGTGACACAGAGTAAACGGGGTAAATTTAACTGACCGGATGATCTTGTACATGGCGGGGTTGGTGAAGAAAGGCTCATCCAGCTCATTGTGGCCCCACTGACGGTAGCAGATCAGGTCCAGGATGATGTCTTTCCTGAAAAGCCGCTGGTACTCCACAGCCAGCCGAGTGGCCCGCAGCACCTCCTCTGCGTCATCGCCATTTACATGGATCACAGCACAGTTCACCATCTTACCTGTGAAACAAATGGGAACAGCACGATATATGAAACACTAACATTTTGAAAACAGATTTTGGGGTTCATCACACCTTGGTGATTCAAATAATATCAAATAGGTCCCCATCATCTATACTTTAAAAGAACGTAGCGAATATTTAGTTTTCTTTATATGGATGCTATTTACAAGTTTCACTGACCGACATCACTACAGTACAAAGAAGATCTCCCTCTCTCGGATGGAGTGGTATAACCCACTTGGTTGTTCACAATGAGGTGGATGCTCCCACCGACTCTGTAGTGAGGGAGGTTTGAAAGGGTCAAAGTTTCTGGAACAATCCCTTGGCCGGTGAAAGAGCCATCACCATGGACCTGTGGAGAAGAGAACAGAGATGGTTTTAACACTGCAGGAAGGTTTGAAGGACTTCTTTAACTCCCTGCTTCACTTTAACACAATTTCAGACATTCTACATTGCTGAACAGAGAATGTAAACGTCTCTAACATTATGACCTAAAGGCCCAGAGGGGTTTAGTGTCATTACCTCCTGCAGAGTATGAACCGCAGATCAGAAGAGAAGCGTAATGAAGGCATTCAGATGAAATATATCGGAGGTCCACAGCTTGTGAGCAACAGTGGCTGTGTACACATTTGTTTCTTAGTGGATCTAATCAATTTTTCTGGTGTTTTTGACTGCAAATTATGTTTAAGCCACTGCTACATCTGATAAGTTGGTTTAAAGAGATAAGAATGTTTAACACATTCATTATTTTCTGTCAGATAACCATAGGAACATTGAAACAGGTTTTGCTTCTTTTTAATCATTCCTCCTGTTCACACTGGTCATTTTGAGATCCATTTCGGAAGTGTTTCCAATGTAAGTGATGGGATAAATTAAAGAGTACTACTACTAATGAATATTAAATAGTGCATGTATTGTGAGGGCCAATGAAACAGAAACTATAAAAAATACCAATATAGTACTACTACTAAAAATAATAATAATACCATTTATCATCTCTCATGTCATTGCTATCAAAATAATAATGATAAACAGGGCTCTCCTACATAGGAAAATAACAATTTCTGACACGCCAACTGTAACTACAGACACAGCACTTTGATAAACACGGCATTAGCTTTGTGCTGATTTAGCAACGGGCAGAGTTATCTGCGGTTGGCGATGTTAGAAAATATTTAGAAATAATAAATTAGAGAGAAATGAGAGGACCAGTTGCTAGAACTGCCAAACTTTTTCAGAAATAAATCTACAATCACGTCCGTCAGCAGCGTATCCTCCTCCGTAACATTAAACATACCACTGTGAGCCTGGAGAGGACAGTGAAAAATGGGAGGGTTATCAAGTCTGGTCTCCGAAGAGGAAAAGTGATGAGGGCTATTTTTATTATTATTTAAGTCATGTAACGATGTGACAAAAGACCAACTCACTGGGAACAATGAGTGTGAGAGCTACCAGGAGCTACTCACCATAGCTCGGTAGACTGCTGTCAGCTGATGTTTTGTTCTGTGGTGCTGCAGTGTAGTTAACAAATGAGCTGCAGCGCACCCTCTGGTGGGCAAACTATGCAACACTCATGACATGAGGGAAGGATCCGACTCTCTGTTTCTCTTTTCAATAGTTATTTATCGGCTGTTATAAACACCGATGCAGATATATCTGCGAGTAGCTTATATCAGCGAAATGATAAATTGGTCAGGCTCTAGTATACACCATATAACCATCATCTTCCGCTATGTATTGCATGTCTTAATCCTCTCACTCTCTCCCCATGTTTCCTGCCAGTCTCTCCTGTCATCAAATCAAAATAAAAGTATTACATTGCTCTTCCTCTTCTTTTAAACTTAAACTTATTGGCTGCATGTATTCGTTGTTGTGAAGCGGTACCTGCAGACAGACGACATGGTCCCCCGGCTGGGCGTTGTCTTCAGGTGAATAATCTCCTTCTTTCCTGAGCTGCTGTCTGGCTCTAGTTTTGCCCTGAGCCACGGGGTTGATCGCCTCCAGGTGAGATGGGTTGGGCAGCATGGTCACATGGAGAGGGTGTCCAGCTCCGAAATCCAACTCCACTGAGGAGGTGAGGTGGGACAGGACGTCCCCGATGGCAGGGGAGGTATCGGGGAACTCGCTGAGGCCTCGCATCTTACGGAACATGAGCTGGACAGAAAAACAATGGAAAAACAGTGTTGTTTGAGGTTATCTAACCCTTTTTTGAACTTTGGCAGCTGGCTGTGACTTTCTGTTTCCTTGTGCTGCTGATTACAGTAGTGCAAATTAAACAATCTAATCTTGTCATGGATAATTCATTAAGTGTGACTGTCTAGGGCTGATTAACCTCGGGTGGGAACTTCAGCAGGCCTGTCAGGAGGTTGAGTCGGCCTCTGTGGGGCATGCCGATGACAATGTCAGTGACTCCGCTGTGGGCGAACTGGTAGAAAAGCTCGTGGAAGAAGCCCATCATGCTCTCTGCTCCTTCTCCTCCATAACGTTTCACAGTGGCAAACTTGGTGGCCAGAAAGTGGTCAAATTCCTACAGGTTGTGAGAGAAAAGGTAAAGAAAGACACGGATACACAAATACGTGACATTAACATATGAAATGTGATAAGGACGTGTCAAATAATACAGTACATTTTATTTGCAGTTTATATAAATGGATGTTATCCTCCTTTTTCTTCTTGGCATTACCTGAGATTCCAGCATGATCTTGGCCAGCTGCCTCCTCTCCTCGGTGGAGAAACTCTTCTTCTTGAGTTCCTCAAAGCGGTCAGCGAACCACTCCCTCTCCTCTATGCTGCTCAGCTGGCTGGTCTCCACTGACAGGTGGCCACAGTAGACTTCTTCCAGGTAGGCCTGAACCTCTTCCACTGAAGCCTCCGCTTTGCCAAAATGTCGTAGACCTGCAGAAGCACACATAGGGGAGTGATAAGTGAACAGAGGGGGCATTGTTTTGGGTTAAAGTTTCTACAGTTGAAAGGTAAAACCATCCTCCAACCCTTTCCATCCTTAGGTGTATTAAACAATAAAACATTAATAAAATCGTTGTTCTTTGTAGATCCCGGCCAATATCAGCAATCTGTATCAGTGTTTATAACAGCTGATAAATGTCAATTAAAAAAGGCAACAACGTGCGCTTGGAATGCCACAAAACGCAGCAATCAGCTGACATAATCAGCTGTGATTTTGTTCAAAGTATTATTTGTAACAATAAAAAAAACTTAAACTGCATTATGTCATGTTATCTTGGTGAGGTCTCAAAACTACACTTAAAAAATGTTAGGGATAATCGTTGTTTATGTTATGTGTTTCTAAAAAGAAGAAGAAAAAAAGCCGATATATCGGATTTTAAAATATAAAATTTGCCAAATACTCAGATAATTGACAGTGTAAGCATTAAATATGATATCAATGAATAACTAATTAAAAGTATGAAATGAATCAAATACATTTTTTTACGTTCTGGAATCCTCCAAAAATAATCATAGAGTAAGTTTATATGCATGCGATTTTGTCTTTCTGACAACTTATCTGAAAGCTTTATTTACTAATTACTTTAAAAATTAAGATTTTTGCACAAAAAAACATATGAAAATGTACAAATACAGCTGAAAGTCAATACATCCACTGACAGAAAATTTACTGGGAACTAATTTGATAACCGTTTCGTTATTTTTCATGCAAAATCTTTTCATGGTTGCAGCTTCACAAATGTGAGGATTTGCTGCTTTTCCTTTTAATTATATTTATATTTTTAATAATTTTGAGGTTTGGACTACCGGTTGAACAAAACAAGCACTTCTTAAAAAATCCTACTTTTACATTAATGCATGAGTAGTAATAATATTAATCCTATGATATAATATATAATAGTAGTAGTAATTCCAAAGGACAATTTTCTGCATCTGTACATTTAAAACAGTTTCAATGCAGGTTGTTTCTTTACAGTGCGATATTAGTACTTTTACTTAAGTAAAGGATCTGAAAATTTCCTCCAACACCTTTACTTGCAAAGTAAAAGTCTTTTTAACAAGTATAGATTACATAATGTTGCACATATAGAGTAACAAATCATGGTTAGAAGGAGACACTGTCATTTTCCCAACTTGTGATGCATGCTTTCTGTAGGTTTCCATCTACAGCTGTCATTTACCTGAGGTGTTGAGTTTTCCTCTAATGGTGCCGGTCAGCATGTCTATCTCCGGGACAGTGTCGGCCACAGGCTTTTGGGGTAGTAAGGGATTAATTTTAGCAGCCTTGTGCCCATGTGCTCTGTATGCCTCCACCAGACGAGCAAGACCATGATCTGAGCACAAAGCAAAACACCAGGCCGCTGTGAGGATGAGTTGTCCCAAAACACACTGCAGATTCAATGTCAGCCACTGGGTGCAACCTCGACTGATCGCAACAAAATCATCCTCTAATTTAACTATTTAAATGGGAATTAGATGTTTTACACAAGTATAAAACGAATACAGTAGTACAATAACAAAACAAACCTGAATGCATACATGGTCAGCATTAGCGTTATTTTAGCACGACAAAGACGCCTTCTTATCTGGTGATGTTAAGTTTTTGAATTAACCCCCTACTGACCTTGATTCAGTGCCGCGATGCAGTCGCTCTGCAACTTGTGGCACCTCTCTGTCTGTTTGGGCCGGTATCCATAAACACCTTTCTCGGTGTGGTAACAGCAGCCGACAACCTGCCGGGCGACACAGGGTGGCAGTCTGCTCAACGACGTTTTCAGGAAAAGTAGGGCCGACATGTTTTTAAGTGTACGTTAAAGCTTTATTTAATCTTTTAGCGGCGCACACAGGCCGACGTTTAAGGAACAGCGGCCATAACGTTACAGCAGAAAGAGGCACGTTATGGGAGGAGACGCCGTATCGGAAGCTTATTGGCTCAGGTTCCTGCACTCGTTTCACAATAGTCACCAATGAAATCTTTCCTCTTTAGTTTTTTTTTTTTTGTTTGTTCATACTTTTGTTCCAGGTTTATTCAACACAATATTTGTATTTGTAGTATACGAAGATCCATTTTGGAGCAACGGTGCATTATGTTTAAGCTAGCTAAGAAATTCAAAGGTAAGTGAAGTGGCCCCTGTGACGTTGCGCAACAAGTGCAACGAGGTTTGTGCTGCGTTCACGTGCTCCTTGTAAATCCCATATTCCCTATTTGAAAGTTGGAAATCAGGATACCAATTGGTTTTGGTTAGAAACTGATCTTTTTCTATTTTATTGCCTTTATTCTACTTATTAATTGCTCAAGTCCCATTACTTTTAAATTGCATATAGGTGACGAATTAAAGTGAGTAGAAGTATGTGAATCAGAGAGGTGGGACCAAGACATTGTTTTACAAGTCACAAGTAAGTCTGAAGTCTTAGCACTCAAGTTACAAGCAAAGTCCCAAGCTGAGACAGTCAAGGCTGAATTCATAATGTGCTCTTCACCAAATGTAATAGCATTTCATATTTCTAACAAGAAATGAGAAAAATGAAAAATATCTTTATTGAATAAAGCGTTAACCTGTACAGAAAAAAAGGCAGAGGTGTCACACAACAAATGTCATATAATTTTTTTTTTTAATAATTTATATTTGGGCTTGAGGAGGGTGTCAAGTCAGTTAGAGTCAAAAGGCTCAAGTCCAAGTGAAGCGTCATTGGTGTTAAAGTCAAAGTCGAGTTGCAAATCTTTTTTGATTTTGTCAAGTCGATTGTAAAGTCATAATAATTTGTGACTCGAATCTGACTGGAGTCCAACTCGTGACTCGAGTCCACACCTCTGGTGAATCATATGCCTTCACAGATCTCAACCCAATTGAACACCTATGCAGGATTTGAGTAATTTGTGCTAGACTAGACAGCACTTTAAACACAGAAATGGAGTTCATCACTCCAGTAGAATTACAAAGACCAGTCTATGTCAGTGTGCATTACAGTTTTCAGGAGGCTTGTTTTCATCTTGTTTTCAACATTTTCAATGCTAATTTCTGAGCTAAACATATTAAAACAATTGTTTTCCAAACAAGACTTTCAACCTGACATTTAAATGAAAGACATTCGTCTGTTAAATTACCCAAGTATATAAAAGAGGAAACTTAACTTAATTTGCCTTGCGCTGCTACAATTTGCCTGTGACTCAAGATGAGCCCTGTTCCTGTTTCCCGAGAACAGCATTGACTGTTATATCAGAATTGGAGGACAGCCTGAGTTCACACAGCTGAGAGCTTGGACTTAAAAATGGTAAATCCAGCTGTGTAAATGTCTTATTATTGGTAAGAGTACATGATCATGCATGAATGTGAAAATCAACATCAGGCACACCCTGACCAATCTTAGATAAATGATAACGAAAAGAAGTTCAAAACCTTGTATCTAAAACACTCGAAGAGAGACCGGTATCAAACCAGCGTGGTGCTTGTTCAGATAACCCAGTGCTCTGAAACCTATTTCCAATTCAGAATGTCCTAGTCCTTATCAATAAGATAAATCACAACATGGTTTATTATCAGGAGACTTAATGTTATCAGTCACGACCTGTACAGTTAGTCCAATTATACCAAATTGTTCTGCTCACCTGGTAGGCTTTCTAAAGTACATATATAGTAGGCATACAGTTATCCAAGGAAGGTTAAAATCAACTGGCAACTGGACTTGGTTGAAGATACAAGAAGACGTTTCATCCCTTTTTGTTTGTAGAGATTTGAAGCTAAAGTTGCACAGTAGACTGAGACAACATGTCTGGTTTACTGTAGGACCTCCACCACTGGGTGGAGATGTTTGACATCATATAGCATTTTGTAGAAGGAAAAGGTAAACTGTAAGAAGCATTTGGTCTCATAAAGTCATAAGGGTACTTTCCCTTGCTTTCAGAAATCTTAACTTGGGGTAGAGAAAATGTCAATTTGCTGTAACATGAAAGGATGAAAGCATATTTTCACCAACACCTCAATAAAAAATCATTACACAGCTCTTTAAATACCCAGGGTACATTCCTATACCCATACTATTGTATATGTTCCAATATGTAGTATGTCAAGTGCAGTATGCCAAAAATACCAGGATGTTCTACTGGATCCGGTCACATTTTGCAGTATAAAAGCCAGCAAGCTCTTGTGGCTTTTTTGCCCACAATCCTATGCACAACATGAGTATGAGCAAGAAGATCAAAGTTCAAGGCACAATGTTAGGATTAAGTAGTATGTTCCAACTGTATGCATACTGCATGCAACAGTGCGTGCTTTGTGAGGGCCGCTGCGTTATTTACTAAAACTAAAAAGTATGTACTTTGTAACGCAGCACCAGTCTGCGAAGTGCTCGGTCCATAGCTTATGATGGCTGGGGTAAAGACAGAGCTGCACACCATCTGCAGATTTACCTGGTACAATATACAGTATTATTTTCATGATTTCAAGAATTTGGTTTCCATTTTTCCCTGTCACATCTGTTGGTCCTTACCTCACACCTGAGAATAATGACATATGATATTTTTCATATTCTGTCTGGCTGCCACTTCTGGAGCCATTTTGTTGTTGGTATAGTCAGGGCCATTGTGTTTGAAGGCACAACATTTTTCAGCTTTCCAAAACATTGGTAAACATCAGGCTTCTAGGTACAACTACTATTTTAATGTACACTGCTCAAAAAAATAAAGGGAACACTTAAACAACACAATGTAACTCCAAGTCAATCACACTCCTGTGAAATCAAACTGTCCACTTAGGAAGCAACACTGATTGACAATCAATTTCACATGCTGTTGTGCAAATGGAATAGACAACAGGTGGAAATTATAGGTAATTAGCAAGACACCCCCAATAAAGGAGTGGTTCTACAGGTGGTGACCACAGACCACTTCTCAGTTCTTATGTTTCGGTCACTTTTGAATGCTGGCGGTGCTTTTACTCTAGTGGTAGCATGAGACGGAGTCTACAACCGACACAAGTGGCTCAGGTAGTGCAGCTCAACCAGGATGGCACATCAATGCGAGCTGTGGCAAGAAGGTTTGCTTTGTCTTTCAGCGTAGTGTCCAGAGCATGGAGGCGCTACCAGGAAACAGGCCAGTACATCAGGAGACGTGGAGGAGGCTGTAGGAGGGCAACAACCCAGCCTCTGCCTTTGTGCAAGGAGGAGCAGGAGGAGCACTGCCAGAGCCCTGCAAAATGACCTCCAGCAGGCCACAAATGTGCATGTGTCTGCTCAAACGGTCAGAAACAGACTCCACGAGGGTGGTATGAGGGCCCAACGTCCACAGGTGGGGGTTGTGCTTACAGCCCAACACCGTGCAGGACGTTTGGCATTTGCTAGAGAACACCAAGATTGGCAAATTCGCCACTGGCGCCCTGTGCTCTTCACAGATGAAAGCAGGTTCACACTGAGCACATGTGACAGATGTGACAGAGTCTGGAGACGCCGTGGAGAACGTTCTGCTGCCTGCAACATCCTCCAGCATGACCGGTTTGGCGGTGGGTCAGTAATGGTGTGGGGTGGTGTCTTTCTTTGGGGGGGCCGCACAGCCCTCCATGTGCTCGCCAGAGGTAGCTTGACTGCCATTAGGTACCGAGATGAGATCCTCAGACCCTTGCTATGCTAGACCTCATGTGGCTGGAGTGTGTCAGCAGTTCCTGCAAGAGGAAGGCATTGATGCTATGGACTGGCCCGCCCGTTCCCCAGACCTGAATCCAATTGAGCACATCTGGGACATCATGTCTCGCTCCATCCAGCAACGCCACGTTGCACCACAGACTGTCCAGGAGTTGGCGGATGCTTTAGTCCAGGTCTGGGAGGAGATCCCTCAGGAGAACATCCGCCACCTCATCAGGAGCATGCCCAGGCGTTGTAGGGAGGTCATACAGGCACATGGAGGCCACACACACTACTGAGCCTCATTTTGACTTGTGTTAAGGACATTACATCAAAGTTGGATCGGCCTGTAGTGTGGTTTTCCACTTTCATTTTGAGTGTGACTCCAAATCCAGATCTCCATGGGTTGATGGATTTGATTTCCATTGATAATTTTTGTGTGATTTTGTTGTCAGCACATTCAACTATATAAAGAAAGGAATATTTAATGAGATTATTTCATTTATTCAGATCTGGGATGTGTTATTTTAGTGTTCCCTTTATTTTTTTCAGCAGTGTATTCTCAATCCAACAAGGAAACTGTATAGTAAAAGAAGCAGAGATGCCAGTTTCTCCTCCCACAACAGTCATGTACAACAGACGCTGTAGTAGGGCACTCTGGGAAAATAACAGTCTCAAATAGCTGAGGCAGGTGATTAACCTAGAAAATGTAAACATTTTTACTTTAGAATAACCTCAAGACACACTGATTTCCGCAGTGACTAGACATTGACTTCAGTATGAGACAAGTGCATCCCTGCTGGTGTGGAAAACGCTGTCAGCAAATTAGTCTCTAAACATTTGGAAAATATGAAGATACTGTCTGGGGTGCAACTAATAATTATTTTCATTATCAATTAATCTGATGATTAATAGTCTGGTTTATAAAATGTCAGAAAATTCTTATAAATTGTCTTCACAATTTCCCAGAGCCCAAGCCAAGGTCTTCTATAACATACAAAAATGAGATATTCAGTTTCATCAAACTGATGTTCAATTCTGTCTGACTTATCATTTTCAGCTCTGACAGCATTAATCCACTATCATAATTGTTAGCGATCAATGGTCTTGATCAACTTAATCTTTTAACTACTACTAGAGTCTAAAATAACATGTCTTTCTACAGTTTAGCTATAGAGGCCTTTTTAATTAACATAAGAGACCCCAGCCCATTTAACACCAGGGAGTTAGATAAACCTGATTTCCACCCGTCTGTTACTGCTCAGAAAAAAGCAAAGAAGCACAACGAAGAGAAACAAGTTAGCGAGACATGACACACTGGGGGAGGGAGGGGTGGTTTGTAAAATGTCTTCACAACACTGGACAAGCACAACACACAAAGACACACAGTCCATATTAGGGGAAATGGTTTAATTTGGAGACAGAGGCAAAGAAACACACCACACATGAACAAACATTGACCAAAAAAAGAACACAGAGTCTTTCGGCTACACACGCCGCTATGGGAAAAACAGAAAACTCTACACAGGTAAAAAGCAAGGCTCAAACTAAACAGTTAACTCTTCAACTAAGACAATTATCCACACAAGTTGTCGAAATCCTGATGACCATTAAACTATGTGGACAGCACAAATACTAACATGAAACTTACCACGAGTTAGAGGATCCCAACCCCCCCGAAACTGAAACTGATTAACGGAGTGAAGAAACATGTAGAGATCGAAGTAAATTCAAAATCAGGCATCTTTTTAGAGACAAAAAACCAAAACAACAACAAAAAAAAAAAATTGCTTGACACCACCAAGAGGCCAAACTCAAGACCTGGTCAAGGCAAGGCCACATTGAGAGGCCAGACAATTTTTTTTCCCAATATAGATTTTTTTCCTTTAATTTCCAATATAAAAAGCTTCACTGGTACAAAATACATATGAACAACCAGTTGTAGAAATTGGAAAGCCTGTGTATGTCTTTTTTTCTCTTTTTCAAATCCCACCCAGTTTCAAAAAAATTGATTTTCACTGAACAGAAGAACTACTGTATGTATAATACAGATCACATCAAGATGCACCCACTTTGGCTTTCATCAAGACAAGATAAAACATCTATTAAATTATTGGTGGAACATGAACAAAGTCCTACCGATTATCAGACAAGAAAATAACACAAGATGTTTTTTTTTTCCTTCCTCCTCCTCCCTTCTTTTGGATCAAGACAATATCTATAGAGATGCAAAGCTACCACACTGTCAAAAAAAAAAAAAAATAGCACTTCAGAATATGAAAACAACACAAGAAAGTGATTGTTAAGAGCTTGATGAGATTTGTGATGGAAGCCCCTGAAGTGAGTCAAGTTCCTGTTGGGACCGCTGTGGACTGTACATTGTGCTTTTTTTTATTCATTCACAGTAACACTTCACCATACAACACATCGCCGCACATCTGCAATCATTTCAGTGTTTGACACACAATTCTATCATTTTAAGATCTTATCAACATGGCTCCCAATTTTGTTTACTTGAGTTTTAGCTTGTTTTATGACTTTTTTCAATTCCAAACAAAATTCCCTCAACACATTCGATCACCAATCGTGATTTGTATCGCAAAGTGTTACAGTACACGTGTTCACACTCACTAAGAAAGAGGTTTAACCTTCAAATGTATAGGGAAGTTTATTGTTTATCTACAATTTTTTAATCAACTGTTCAAATTGAGTACATCACAATACACATTTACCAATAACTCAACACACAGAGTGGGGGAGAGGATGAGGAGAAGGGGGACAAGAGCTTTCATGACACTGGCATAAATAGACAAAAAAGGCGAACTGCAGCAATCTCTAAACCAAGGCCTAATAAGGATGTGTAGGCAGTTTCTAGACGTATATATGGCACTTTGAATATTGTATTGCATTTGGATAGAAAAAACACACTGTAAAAAGCACATGCCCATATTAAAAAGTGAAATCAGTGGTACCTTGAAAATTTGGGGATTATAAGCGCACACACACACACACACACCCCCCATTCTGTAACAGTGATTAGCTCCCACAATTGTGCTTAACGTTTCCTTACAAAACTACAACACTTTCCCTCGAGCACGGTTTCTAATTTGGTACCCATTTATTTTATGTATTTAGGAATTTTTATGCATTTTGAGAAAGGAAGAAAATCCAAACCCAAAAAAAAAAAAAAAAAAAAAAAAAAGTCAAATGGTGACAACTGTGCATTTTGTATTGTAATCCTGTGTGAGTATCCACACAAAAAAGCCCCTGAGTTGACAACTCTTTAGCGCCATCAGGTACGCAGTTTTAGGTAACCCTTCTTTGGGGGGGGGGGGGGGGGGGGGGGGGGGAGTGGTTGTTATTTTACCAAGGTTGTCTCAACAACTTGTAGTACAAGACAAAATACCACCCCGGTAAAAAAAGTGTAAACTTTGTGCTGAAAAAATGGAATGTATTTATAAACCAACACTATTGTGGTGGATTTAGTAGTATTAATGTGCTGTGCATTGTGTACGACTAAAACATGATACTGGAAGTCACTTAAAAGAACGATCAGCAAAAAACAAGAAAAAAAAGCAAGTGTGTGTCTATAAAATGTGCAGAGACCCACAGGCCATGTGTTGTGTCCAAGTGATCTCTTCTTCAGGGGCTCCCACATTTGCAATCACAGAAAGTGTGTGTGTGTGTGTGTGTGTGTGTGTGTGTGTGTGTGTGTGTGTGTGTGTGTGTGTGTGTGTGTGTGTGTGTGTGTGTGTGTGTGTGTGTGTGTGTGTAAAGAAAACTAGGTAATATTACAGGACAAAAATGTGTGAATTCAAAAACAGTTTGACACATGGGCACTTTAACAAAATAAAAACAAGAAGACATTGTCTGGCATCTGTATGATTAACAGACATAGTAAATCCATCTTTCAACATGAGGCATCCAAACTAAACCAAAGTGAAACATCCATTAATTAAATTATTAATGAGAAATTCACAAAGTCAACAAGACGTACCGTGGAAGTTGAACACAAAATTTTTCTTCAAACGCAGGAGAAAAAGAAAGAAATCTACATATTGTGACTCTGGAAAAAAAAAAAAAAAATCTTTTCCCCCCAGAAGTTGAAATTACAAGTAATGCAGAGGATTTTTGACTTAAAGTGTTTAATTTTCTAGAAATTACCCGCAAATGGTCACGCTGATCAAACTGATTTTTAGTCCTCTTTAAAAATGTAGTACACTGAAGACCCCCCGACACAGATGACATTACAACATAATCTACAAAAAACCCAAAGTTTTGCCTGGGTTCTGTTAGTTAAACTTCTATAGATTCAATGGTATAAAATATAGGTAATCTAAGTGTGCATTTAAACCACAGATTGTCTATTTGTGAATCAGTTCTAAAAAAGTTGACTCATGTAGGTAGTCATTTCTCCAAACAGAGCAAATGTACCTTTTATTGTGCCATCAATAGTTCAAAAAAAAAAGTAAATACACTGAATATTTTTGTAAATGAAAAGGAAATATATTTTAAATAGCCTTGGTGTAAATCTTCACACTGCCGGCAAAATGTAGAGATCATTACAGAGCACTGAGAGGGGTTTAACTCGTCAGACTTTCAAAAAGGTGTTGAAAAGTGGTCTTTAGCATGTTTTTTTTTTTTTTGTTAAAGAAGCCAACATATTGCTAATGGCACCAAATAGCACAGCTGTGTGCCAATCCCTGTATTCAACTTTCAAGTGAACTTTACTGAGAGAGGTAAAAAGAAAGCAACATAAAAAAAACATTTCTAAAAATAAGAAATCCCACAGGTTTTTAAAACATTCGCAAAAAAACAAATTTTGCAAAAACAAAAAGTCTTAAATGAATTCAACGCAGGTAAGTTTTTCACATTGATTTGCTTGACCTCTCTCCCACCTGTCACATTTCTATACAGAAAAAAACAAACAAAGAAAAAAAAAAAAAAAGGATATACATGCAGAAAAATCAGGTTGAGCTAAGGTCAAGGGTCAGTGGGTGGCCAGGTATTGGTCAGGCGAGCTTAGAGAGACATCACAGACAATGGTGGGATGATGAGGCCAGGAGTTTGGCTTGGCTTTCAACATCATGAAGACATGCTAGGCTAATGATGAGCAAACAGGCATGGAGATTTGTTCTAAAAAAGGAACAAAAACACGAAAGGAAGAGATAGAGAGGGGAGAGAGAGAGAGAAGACAAAGAGGAGAGAAAAGAAAGTTAGGGGCACAGCACAAGAATCGTTTAGCCATGAGGCACAAAAAAACAACAAAAAAACAACACCAATCACCACATACAGTAAGGACAGAGTGGTAAACATCTCCCCCTCCCACCTCTTGCTCTCCTGACACACAAAAACAATACACAGATTTAAGGAAGTGACACCACTGGGACATATGCCAAAGACTCCAACATGCAAACTGTATACTTGGCACCCAAAGAGATCCATCTAGAGCCAATCCCTTGTGAGAGACTTGGAGGATGGATGGAATGACTGGAAGGGGTTGTTAATAGAGAAAAGAGAGGTAGCCTAGCTCAACATGGCTTAGATAATGACACGACAGAGAGAGAGGAGCGGGAGACAGAAAAGGGAGAGATATGGGGAGCAAAGATGAATGAAGAATTTAGAGTGCAAAAGATTTTCACATTGAGAATGACAAATGAAAGAGACAGACTACATGGAAAAAGCCAAACGCGTGTTGAAACTCTGGGTTTACGTGGCCTGGCTTCAGCCCTTCAACACAACAACTGATCCTTAGTCAACCTGTCTAGCTTGACCTGAAGGCAATGAAATGGCATGGAAACACACCTGATGCTCTCCACTAATTACAGTGACACAAAATACCTCCAGCGAACACTGACTCCAGTGATAATCATAAATAATCATATACATTAAAATATTTAATCCGACTGAAATCACATTATAAAACCTCAGGAATGAAATACAGTAAAATGTGGAAAGATCATTGCAAACCATGTTTTTTTTTTTGTTTGGTTTTTTTTTTTTAGGAATAGAGTGAGTCTCCCTCCTGTGGTGGGCTCCTTTCCCCATGTCCCACTGAGTCTCTGCTGTGGTGACCTTGGCTGGAGGGTGAACTTACCCTAGCAGTGCTAGCATTAGAGCTGGGGAGGGGGGGGGCCCGGGGCTAGGATCAGTAGGGTTTGCTGTCGTTCTTGGAGCGCTTCAGCTGAACCTTCAGCCTCTTCATTCCAATCTGGAAACCATTCATGGCCTGAATGGCAGCTTGCGCAGACACAGGATTGTCATAGCTGACGAACCCTGAGAACAAAATGGTGGACGACACGTTACATACATTTAACTAACAATATTTTAAGCCGTCTCACTTGCTCAATAGTAAATAAAATAATGATACCTAAGTTTTTTTTTTGAAAAGCTGTTCATCCATCAAGTAAAAAATATTGACACAATTTCAAGTTGCAGTATTGCACTTATTTTAAATTAAATGGATTCAAAAATAAAAACATTTACAGTTTAAACAATAAGGAAAACAATCCTTTAATCTCGTTTAACAAAAATACAATATATAGTTTTGTTCGAATGAATTTAAAAACAGAAAATATTTGTGTCAACATACATGTTTTTTCCTAATACACAGTATGTGCAGAGAAAATGAATTTGTGCGTGGCTGTTGCTTAACATCAATATTGGTTCAGCTTTATTTCAATGGGAGGCCAGGGTGTAACTAAGGAATAATGATATCTTAATATCCACAACACAACGTAGCAGTTTGGAAAGGGATATCAATTCTAATAAAGAGGGCTTCAGGCCAGTGGTGCCAACTCACTTACCAAAGCACTTGCTCAGATTGGTCTGTTTGTCAATGAAGACTTTGGCAGAGACCACATTTCCAAAAGGCATGAACATCTGCAGAAGATCCTGGTCCCCAAACTCCTGGGGCAGGTGGTAGATGAACAGGTTGGCGCCCTCTGGCCCTACTCCATTTGGTAAGAAAACCAGACACTCAAGTTAGATACAAACTGAGGCACAATCAAATAAATCTTATTTAGAAAACAGATGAAAATCATGTTAATTAAATAATGTGAAAACAAACTGATCAAAGTGATGTCAGAATGTACTGTTGCGGGCCGAGGATCTGCTCACCTTCCTTCTGACTGCCAGCAATGCTCTGCTGAAGGAGAGACTGGCCGTAGAGGGAGGGCAGGGCGGAGGCTGTGTACTGCTGCATCCCTGAGTAGGCCTGGGTCAGAGCATCCATGGAGCTGGCTGCTGACCCATTGGCCATGGAGGCTCCCAGGCCTCCATTCATCGTCCCCATACCTGTTAAAAACAGAAAAGGTTAAATGTTTTTGGCCACCAGGGGGCAGAAAAACAAACTTTTATAAACAGGATTTCTCTTGGCAGGTTACACTCCTTGGCCATTTTATTAGGTACACAGATACAATCTGCAATGCAAACCACTACAGCTCTGCCACATTTTCTACCTTGTATGAAGCTTATAATGGCCAGTTTTTGTTAAAACCTTCCGTGAGGTCATAGATAGTGGTGGTGTTACTAGGATTACATTACAGTGAAATGGGTTTCTAATTGCAACATTGAAGAAGTTGCCTTAAGCTTATCTTGAGTGTTCAACTATTAGCAACTAGGTGATTTAGCTTTTATCCAGCTATTCAAAAAGGACATTCTTACCACCAACACTGCTGGTGAGAGCATTGAGATTGAGGCCCATAGAGGTCCCAGTGAGACCCTGCAGGGTGCCCAGAGATGCCAAAGTGCTCATGGCAGCACCCGCGCTGGACCCTGCTGTTGAACCGGCTGTTTGAGGACAGAATTTAAAAAAAGGACATATGGGTTACCACAGGGGTGACTTGCTCATGTCCAAAACACTACACATCACTCTAAACGTCTAGCATCTTTACCGCAAATTGTTATGGTTATGAGGGGATGACACAGCAGTAAGGGGGCAGTTAAAAATCTGTGTTAACGAGAAGAGGTCATTACCGCAGCAGTAATATGCTAAACTTGGACAGATGGAGCCAATGTATATTTACACAGATTAAATGAAAATGGGGCTCTCATAAAATTTTATATGTGGGTGATTAAATCCCATAAAATAAATGAGGGATGGCTGAGGGCCGTTAGGCAAATAGTGTACGAGGGAGGTTTGCAGAGCATTTAGTAGGTACCATTACAGCAGCAGGAGGGTTAACTCCTGAACATATACATTTATCTCAAGAGGTGAGGAAGTTTTATTTAGACCAAACAAGGTCAAAAACTCAAGAAAGCAAAACACATCCATAAACAAGTGGAACTGCCATTGGCTCGCACTGGGTGCTCAATACTGTGTCAGTACATGCACACACTGCAAGTTTAATTACCTGAACTAGCCAGGGCTCCCAGGGCTCCACTGCTTGCAGACAGGGCGCTGGTGGAAGTCGGGCTGCCAGAACTCTGAGCTGCAGCTGCAGCAGCAGCTAATGTGGCCAAGTTCTGCAGCTGAAGGGGATTCACACCTGCTGAGAGAACAAAGACACAGAGGTGATAATCAAAGACTTTCCAAATGTATGCTCAAGTTCTTGCAAACAAATGCTTTTCCAATACGTCTGAGAGGGCAAACCTGTCCAGGACGCAAATACAGAAGCTTGACAAGTTTTTGGGACTATGCAATCAATTTAAAAACATGTTCTCTCTCAGCTTTCTCTATAATCATACAGCCTCGATGCAAATTAGTGTACTTGCAAACAACTTCACTGCTTTCTATTCACCCTTACTAATCCTTAGAAAGTTATCTTTCATCATCTTTATTTGTCTGAAGCATTGTTTTGTTTACTAATCATATTTCACACATTTCATTTGGTCATTTTGCTTAGATTTTTTTTTTGTTCAATAAAGCCATAGTGTTGTGTTTCACATTGGTTTGAGGGTTGTATTAGTTGAGAGTACTTAATTCAAATGGGAAAAATGCAGTATTGGTTTTCATATTAGACATGAAATTATTATTATTTCAACATACAAAACCAGTCCTACTATATTTGCTGTGTGCTCCATTTGTTGCTTTAAACATAGAGCATTTTTCCTCACAAGTCTATAGCTTTTAATTTTTACCAAGTCATGGTTATGTATTATGTGTGCAGTCTGGCTCACAGGAAGTAGGGCTTGGTATAAGCCTGCCATTGACTATTTCAGTTCACTAATTCTCCTCCCCTTCCACGATCTTTTCACAGTATTTCGCAAGAGCCCAGTTGCTGCTCCCTAGGTTTAGTGCCACCCAAGACGATCGTGACTGATTTAAAGAAATACAAACAAGTCAGCCAGACCTTATAGTGCTAAAAAAAAAGGTGTGGAGATGCAAGACTAGCACAGGTCTCGCTGATTATTAATGCGCCACTGATCTGAAGGAGTAATGTGATTTACTGCCGTGAAAATAAGTGGGAGTAGCGCGAGTTACAAGGCTGGTGACATGAAAATTCTTGGCTCGTTCATCTATAGAGGATGACTTAAGGCCAGTGGTTTCAACATCTGAAGGAGTGAACTCACCTCCTAGCCTTTGAATGCTGTTGAAACTGCCTTGGTTACTTGTAGATGTGGCCTGCTGGAGCAACTGTTGAGGACAAAGAAAAAAAGATTTAATTTCAGAATCAAATGGAGGGACACATAATTAATTCTTAAATTATCAACAGTATAATCGCAAATGGTTGTCTTGTTGAATTTCACAACACGTTGACAACTGACAGTGTTGCCATTATACTGTAAACATGAGAACAGTCTGGATGCTGTGATCTTGGCTTTCATAAACTCACCCTTTAACGTGATGCTTTGTTCTGTTTATTTGTTTATTGGGGAAAAGAATTTTAGTGATTTAGGCTCCATTTACACTTGTCATTTCAAGCACATTCAGTATATATTATATATAAACCACATTTATGAATCTCCGTTGGCCAGATCACAAATCTGATTACAACCAGCCTGTTTTACCGAGCTACATGCAAATGACAGTTCACCCTCCTCCAAGAACAACTTGCAATTCACTTCCATTAATAACAGTTAAGCCAGCGTTAATGAATGAATCGTATCTATGAAATACGAGTGTATCATCTTCACGGCTCTAACTCACACCGATCCCTCACCCACATTTGATCGTGTGCATATAAATTGCTGGAGCAGATTTTCCTGCTTGCTTTAATGGAGAGAGAACAATTGATAATTTCAGTGTAATTTTAGTATAACTTCTGCTGCCATTATCACATGGACAGACCATCGATGTAGAAGAAAATCAGATAGTGAGTGGCTACAGACTTACTGACTTTGTCTTTGAGGTAAAGATTATGTATGGGTCACCTCCTACAGAGGTGGTTTGAGCAATCAGATTTCACTTCCTCTTGAATGCTTCTTGGATACATTCACACAGCTTTCTTGAGATCAGATAACTATCCAATCCACATCAAGTGACAAAGTGTAAATGGGGTCTAGGTTTAAGGTGTAGCAACAACGCAGGAGCAAGGTTTGTACAGAAAATCTACATCTTAACAAATGTCATGTTTTTTATTGCCTCTATTTCCATTTATTCACAATGTATGTGATATTTGGGTGGAACAGCAGTTCAAATCAGGTTTTACCACTTAATGTGCATGCAATAGCCTCAAAAGCTGTAGTATCCTGCAAGAAACACAAATGGCACAGCTGTTCATGTTAGGTCCCCTTTTAAGTCACATGCTCATGGGCTTAGAATCAGGGGAGGCATAAGTCACATGTAACTCATGAACGACTGAGTAAAGGTATTCCCATTTTGAGCCAAAGACAATAAGTTTACTGTGCATTATTTCAAATTATATTAAAACCCAAAAATTCTGCACCATCACACTGTATATGTATTAGGCCTTGTTGAAGTAATCTTTTTAAAACTTTAAAATAATTCCAACAAATGATCCAAACGTTTGAAGCAGGGTCCAAAATTTGTATTCACCACTCGTTTTAAAAAAAGTACTTTGTGAATAAAATAAATTAAGGTGACCGGGTTGTTGAAATATACGTACTTCATTACAAACCCTCATCACTACAAAACACAAGTTGAATGACCAAATTTTGCTTTGCATTGACTCTGCACAGTAGTGGTAGCATGTAACGTATGACCGTCAATTATTGAATCGTATTTCCTTGATTGACCTGGACTGTCCACTGTCATTACGGTTATCTTGCTAGCTCAGTGTTTCCACTGCTAATTTATCTGTGGTATACACCACACAACTCTGCTTTGACAAAAGTAGCAGGACGCTGTAGTAACGCTACATGAAAAGCGACATTTCTCTTCTGTGACAGTGAGCACAACTTTCAGTGACTTTTATGCTTAAATAGCCATGTTATGGCTGACTAAAGTAACTTAACTGTCCCTTACAGCATACACTTTTCTGTGACTGCAACATCATGCTGGTACTCCTTTTACACACTGGGAGAGACTTGCTTCCCACAACAGGTCTGTTAGCCTGCGTAACTCACAAAACAGGATCACCTCAAAATATAGTTCAATACAACATATCCCTCTGAAGAATCCTGCCTGTGTGTTCATACATGAACCTAAACACATAATATAACCAGCAATACTCAAACTAGATCCTCAAAAAAATAAGACCTATAATCAAGACCTCTGCTATCTGACTCCACCTACACAATTTATTGCAAACATTGTATTTCTAACATGGTTGATGTATTGCTGTGTATATGTATTCCTTCATATTGTCTGGTAGTAGGGATTTAACGGTAAACCATGGTAAAATTCCCTCCGGTTATTATTACCATATACATTTTAATTACCATGATAACTGGGTACGGTTAACCGCGCGGTTATAATCTCAAACTAAACTGAAGCTGTCAGTGTTGCTGCTCTTGTAAAAACGCTACACGTTGTTCCGTTTCTGTGTGCGTCCTGTGTCGGCAGAGTATATTCGTCCACTGCACATGATAACATGTTACGCAGTTCAGTCAACCAACCAGCATATCTAGAAATACTCTCAGACTCCTCTGTATTTATGTCAGTTTTTGGGCTCATTGCAGTAACTATCACTGTCTTCTAAAGACTTATTTGTTTTCATGTAATTTTGCACAGGGTCATTGTATTACCTATAAAATATTGATAATGCACACTTAGATGATTTTCATATGTTTACAAAAGGTATTTGATGTTATTTTATTTTTTATGCAAACAAAATGGCAATTGTATGTAAAAAAACCTTTCAGTTTTCAGTGTGTTTCAGTACATTTTAATTTTTTTTGGCACAGTTTCACAATACCGTGATAATACTGATAACCGTGATCATTTTGGTCATTATAATCGTGATATGAAATTTTCATACCGTTTCATCCCTTTCTGGTAGTCTGTTTTTTATTTTATTTTGATAGTTGCACTTTGCAAGTCAAGGGGACCTCAAAGTCAACATATGGCTAAACTGTGAATACATTTTGTAGAAACTAAAACTGTGCCGTGATAATACATGAGTAATTGTGCAACACTTACAGCCAGGTACTGCGGCGTGAGGGTCCCCAGGCCGGCCAAGTTTCCCCAGGTGGAGGCGCTGTTGAGCTGCTGAATCTGCTGAACAAGCTGCTGCTGCAGGCGCCGCTGCTCCTTATCTCTCTGTGTGTCAGCAAACTTCACCACCAAAGGTGAGGAACAGCCCTGAAGCAGCGAAGGGGTCAAAAACGTTAGACCAATTCAGGAGCAGACCAAGGAACTCACAGTTCATTTCCCAATGCAAGGATACAGTCATTGCAAGGATTTTATTTATTTTTAAGGGGGGTGTATCATCTATGCCTCAAGACAGTTTTTTTAATGTCTGTTGCATTCATACCAAAGCTAACACACAGAGGACATCTGCCATGCATAGCTTTGCCACATTCCAATAGGGGCACCAGACAATACTGCAGACAGTGAACATTTTAGCACTATGAGCAGCTGACTCCACAGACAAGCAGACAATAGATGGAGACACTTAAAAACAGACATTCAAACGAGGATATGTTGGCAGACATTAACAAGAAAAATGCAATACAATATACACAATCTAACAAACAGTCACACACTGATCAGACAGACGCATGAACATGAGGCATGCGGTGCAAAAGTATTTTGAAAGTTGAGAGCCATACAGGGACCAGGCTGGACAAGGAAACTGAGTTTGGCACTAGCGGCACCTCCCACAGCAGCTGAGAATTGGGAAGGTTATGATTTGGGGGGTAATAGGTGGCACCACCACTGGGGCATGTGTTTAATCTGGTAGGAGTAGTGTTACGTTTGGTTGGGCTCCTAATTAGACTTGGTCTGATGCTTCACTGGGGAGCCTCTGACCTGCTAACTGTCAAATTACTGCTGCTCCACTTCCACAAAGACACCATTGGCTACACAATGACATGGACCCAGTTTTTGAAGAAATCTAACAGGATAGCTGCTCCAGTGTAGGTTAATTCTTTGTTAACATATATTTGACGGTGTGGGCTCTTTTCCCTGTGGTCCAAAATAAAGATTGATTATGGCAGACTGTGATGGCTCGGCTCTGACATCATATAAGAATCAATAAATGAGATGCATTTTAGTTCATCCCAAAATTAGAGATGACAGCTATTCTTGTTGTGTCCTGTTAGCTCCGGATTTAGTAGCTATGTGAGAGGCAATGTTTCAAGTTTTATTCAATTATTTTGCAGACGACAATGTAATTTTGTAATTAGCAAGAGTGGTTTTGGAAATGACTCATGCTCTGTGATGAATGGACGCCATCTGCTCGGACAGGTTCTTCGTCTTTCCAACACAAGAGGGCAGCAGAATGTATGAGGTGGGCAAGGGGGGAAATGAGAAATAGGTGCTAAGGGGTACAGTACCTCCATAGTCTGAGAGTGATGCATGGTTTTGATTGCATTCTGTGCCATTGCCCTGGTAGCAAATGTGACAAACGCACAGCCTGTAGGGGGGGAACAATAGGAGGGGAGGGGGGAGGGGAGGAGGGGAAGGGGGGTGGGGGACAAGAAGAAACAAAACAAGACAAAAGGTTTGGACAACTCGTTATGAACCCCAAAAAAAACCACATTACAGTACAGAGAATGGCAACTTCCAAGCACACAGAACCACCCTCACTGGTTAGCACACGGAGAAAGAAACACAACAAGAACAGTAACACGTGTCACATGAGCACAGTGATCGACGGATTAAATTGCCCCCCGAAGAGGCTTGATTATGTGGTGTCATGGTGAAACAGTCCACGTAATTATATATACACATAATGTACACATAAATACACACTGAAAGGCTTTGATTTGCTAAAATATGTCCGCAAACCTAAAAAAGGGTATTAAGGGCCGACTTCAAATTTTGGTTATGCGTAGATTTACTAGAAAAAGAGCAGAAATTCATGGCCAACTGTCTCTACTATGAGGTTTTATCGCATATATCAACTCGAGAGCCTCGTGCTGCCTGCTATCGGGGGCTTTATGCAGTAGGGAGATATGTAGAGATGCGTCGACAAGCTAATTCCAGCCTTTGTAGAGTGTGATGAAGGAGGTGGTAGAGGAGGAGCTGAGCCGCCTGCCAGCTGAGCCCACGAACACCAGCAGCCAGCGGTTGCCAAGGCGACGGGCCATTGTGCCGGACAGCGAGTGCCGTGGCCCTTCACTGCGAGATGTGGAGGCTGAGCGTAACCGTGATGGGAGGATAGACTACAGGGATGGAATTGGTACCCATGTAGGTGAATAGCACTTGATTTGGGGGTGGAGGGGTTGAAATGAAGTAAGGAGGGGCTTGTATAAATACTTGATGAGAATATGTAATTGGCTACGCTGTAGATGGCGGCTGTGAGGCCAAGAACACTGTGCCTATACTGAAAGCACACCTACCTCTGCTCTGACCATCTGGTCCACGGAGAATTCGGCACTCTTCAATCTGTCCGAAAGAGGAGAACATCATTCTGATCTCGTTCTCTCCATATTTCTTTGAAACCATTCCAATGAAGAGTTTTCTGTCTTCTACCGCTGCAGAAGGATGGAAAGAGAACAGCTATTCAGTAAAAATCCAAACAATTATGGAGCAATAGAAGAGGCTGTGACATCAGGCGCTAAATCATGCGCCTCTTTTTTGGTGCAAGCCCTCTCCTTGTCAGGCTGCCCCATTTTCTGCCTTTTCTACAAATCTCTGCAACCTGCAGCTTTGTTTTCCCTCAGTGTCTACTTCTCTACTGCTCTACTATTCTCCTATTGGTGCTTTTTGAAGCCCTTCATCCTCTTGACCCCTGATACTATAAAGAAATATTGTATTGCTGCACATTCCTTGAAATAGGTCATTCCCATGCCATCATTTGAGACAATCCAGCCCCCACCTTCTTTTAAAATCTCACACGCCATTTGTCTTGGCTAAATCTAAGCCTTCTATGGCTTTTCTTCAACAGATATCATCTCTATAGCGACTTTGCCAGCCCCCTGGCTGCTGCCTGCATGTCACATGAATCAACTTACCACTTGTTTTCTCACTGTCAGCAGGTTTCATCTGGATAGGATGATGCATCTGGAAAAAAATAAAATAAAAATGGGATAGAGAAATGGTTAACACTGGACCTGTCACCATTACACTATGCAGGTGCTTGGCCTCCTTACCTCGACATTTTATTCCTCCCCCAAGCATTTCTCACCACCACTCTAAGACCATCATCCCTCACCACTGCCAGATTCATGAGGGGATCAAATTCTCCTGTATCCTATTTCACTTCTTGCACACTGGTGATTGAACTTCCCTCAACATCCCTCATCTTCTATAGAACAACTTTAAAGAGATGGTTAACAAGCAAGCCAGTTCTGTATTACATCACACGGGGAAGGCGCAGCTAATCTGAGCTGTGAAAAATCTAATTTGAGTTATCTAAACATCTGTGAACATGACACGCTTTCTCAAGCTGCGTTCATTCTGCGAGAAAGCCTATTCAGAACAACTGCTATAGGATCTGTCATGTCATTTAATAAACACTTTCGTCCAAGGCAAATCACAGAACTTCAAGTGAATATATTTTTAGCACATCTACCTGCCATGCAGCCTGAAAGAGAGGACATAAATCTAGCCGTGAGATGCCGGAGCAGGTTGTACTTATGAAAAGTGGTGGGTTTGTTTTTGACAAGCACAAAAGAGAAGCAGACAGATGGCCTGCTCAGTATGGGCACTGGCTAGCATCACTGACCGAGGAGAGTGAGGCACAGAAGGGAGAGACAACAGGAACAGGGAAACAAGCTTTTCCACTGTCACGCAAACCAAACTCAAGTCACTTGCAGTCAATGCCAGTAACAGTGGGACCGGTTATTGGGATTTGAGAGCTAAGCTGATAGACCACACTTTATTTGAAATGTCTGGCTGATTGATAGCTCTCTCCAGTGAAGAAAGCTATGCCTGTATACTCAGCCTCCTACACTCATTTATCAACCCAGTTCAATATTTACCCGTTACCTCACTGACAGTGGCTCCGTTTCCAATAGACTGGGGTATTGATTTAATCGACGGCTGGAGTTGTTTGGTATAGATTTAATTGACTGGAAGGAGTGCAATTCAGAACGATGTATTGGCAGCAGGGCAGACTTGTAGAGGTTTAACAAGCTATTGCGCTTATTCCAGTTGACTGGCCTTTAATCTCCAAATAAATCAGGTAAGGAATTAAGAAACCATACTTGCTCTCACCAGGCTTCATTGTTAAAAAAAACTACAACTTGCTTGACTGCTTTTATAACTCCAACTTTGAGAAATAAAAATGTAGATGTGCATCAATGATTCATGAAGACAAGCATTAATAATTTGTTCCACTTTATGGCGATCAGGTCCTGTGCCCCAATGAATAACCTGCTGCCTGGTCAAGCAAACTATACCTGATACCTACATGTGTGTGTTGGGTCGGTTCGCTTAACAGTTCAGTGTGTTGAGGTTCAGAGCAGTCTTTGGTGAGGTGTTAGTGCATAGTGGGGGCAGAGATATTTCTCAGGGCAGACAGGCGCTCAGTGAGCCGAGAGCTCATTATCGGCCAGCACACAGCTCACAGCCTGCACCAGGGATGTAGAGGGGCTCAACCAGCTAAAAGCAGCCCATACTGTGCTTACTCACCCCACTTAAGGTCTTTATGTTGTGCAGTGCATTCTGGGCCTCCAGTGCAGCTTTTCTTGTATAAAAAGTTACAAAACAGCATCCTGCAGAGAGAAAAACAGGGACAAACAATGGGCGGGGGGAAGGAGACATAAACAGCATTAAATATGCAGCGCATACAGACACTAAATGTAATATGACTGCTGCAGAGCAGGAATGAAGCTAAATGGATGCGACTGTGTTCTCTGCATCTCACATGTTAGGAGCATGTGACAGGATTTTCTTAGCGCCAAACTGTGCACAGCAAATGTAGGAGCTTGCAGCGAGGACACTGGAGTAATGAGATAGTTGAAGGCTGTTGTGCGACATGGCCATAGAGATGACCACAGGGTTAGACAGCAGTCAAGAGGTAGTGATGCACAATCCGCAGGTCAAAACAGCCCGGGCTAGCCAGGGCACAGTACAAACACATCAGAGAGAGTGGTGCTGGCATTAAATAAGAATCCAGTCACATATATACACATACATACGGCATGAAAAAAAGCACAAAGAGACAAGTGGTAGCAGGAGTAAGAGCAAGTAAGAGGAATCATGGGAAGAAAGGAGGTGGTGGGGGATGGGGATGAAGAAAAGATGAGCGGGGGAGGGAAAAAGCCTCTCATCCTTCCGTCCCAGCAGACCGCCAGTGGCGTTCCAGGCTGTCAGTTTCACTGGGCTGGGGAAGTGGAGCACTGCAGCGTCTCTGACCTACATAGTGTGTATTATGCTGTTACTGGAGCTCTCAGGCCGCGGGGAGAGCTGTTGAACTCTAATATGCATCGAGCTGCTCTCTTCTCTCTCTCTCTCACAACCAGCTGAGCTCTTTTTCTCTGCTGCTTAACCCTGCTTCCAATTTACTGGAGCTAAATAAACCATCCAGAGAAGCGCGATAGTTATCAGATGATTTTTTTTTTTTTTCTCCCCATGACTCGCAGTATACGTGACCCAAAAATCACCAAAAATCTGATGGCTCCTCAATAGATCCTTGGCAAAGTAAACAACCAAAATAGAAGTGGGATTTTAGCAATTTCAACGAACAAATCAAACAAAAGCAAAATTGATGACAGAGGAAGGGGGTGATGGGTGTATTATCTGCCATGCAAATAAACATAAGCCAGATATCAATAGGCCGTCATGCTTTCATAAAACTGCCCCCACTTCTCCCTCTAGGACTACTGGGAAAGGAGGACAACAGCGAAAATGATGGGGGTGGGAGGTGCCACCTCAACATATTCACCTCACACAAGCTGGGTGAGCCAAAGACTGCTGTGATCAGGCCAGATTATCTATTAGAATACATTAACATTGCATTAACATGTCAATAGGCCATCACAGCTGACACTCAGCATAGAACAGGGGAGGGCTCTGCTTTTTTTTTATAAAAAAAAAAAAAAAAGGGGGGGGGGGCGCTTTGAACTATTCATTCTCCCAATGAACTGCACACTGTTGCCTGTATAGCTAGCTAGCTCATTATATATACATATACATACACATATACATACACACACACACACACACACACACACACACAATGTTATTACCTTACATAAAACTGCCACAATTACTACTTACTAGCATATTAACATCTACTTTATCCCTTTACCAGCACTCAATGAATTTTATCCACAGCTACGAGAAACCATTTCCATCTACCACCTGGCTTTAAAACCTGTTGTCTATGATATGACAGTGACACAGAGGAAATGCTGCCTTTAAATTCATCTAATACTACATGACTGTCTACAATGAGGACCTGCAACTTTCAGATTTCACGCCAACGTTACACATTCAAAAGAGCAGCTATATAACTAAGTTTGGCTGGAAGCCATGTTAGACAGGCCTACTTGTTCATCTCATGTTTATTTACATGCCCCCTCTCATTTCAGATGTACCGACTGTAAGACAAGCGGCTTGCAGACATATTTAGAATACGTTAAACAATATAGTTTAACCACTCATGAACGTTAGCGCTCCTCTAATGATAAACATGGCATTAGCTTTGCGGCTAATTTAGCAACAGGCAGCACCAACTCCTGTAAGTGATGTTTAAGAATATTTAGAAGTAATGAATTCGAGAGAAATGAGAGGACCATTCACTAGAACTGTTTCAGAAATAAATTTACAATCACGTTTGTCAGCAGCGTGGCCTCCACCACTTCCCTACTGTAACATTAAACATACTGCTGTGAGCCTGGAGACGGCAGTGATAAGGCTATTTTTTTTAATTTAAGTTATGTAATTGACGTGACAAATGACCAACTCACCGGGAACACTGAGTGTGAGAGCTACCAGGAGCTACTCTTTTTGGGTCTGGTAGACTGCGGTCAGCTGATGTTTTGTTCTGTGGTGCTGCAGTGTTAACAGAGGAACTGCAGTACGCCCTCTGGTGGGCAAACTATGCAACATTCACCTGAGGATCCAATACTGTTTCTTTTTTAATAGTCATATCAGCTGTTATAAACGCTGATGCAGAGATATCTGCAAGTATCTATATAGTAGCTTATATAGAACTTATATATTATAGTAGCTGATAATATCTGCAAAACAATAAATCGGTCGGGCTTTACTTTTGACCAAATATTCATAGTGAAGAGCGCCCTAGTAACTAAATTGAGATCTAAAATCGGGAACTAGAGGTTCCTTTTTGCGCATTTCAGGAAGAATGATACTGCCAACCATTTAATATACACATTTTTTGCATATGTTTTTTGTAATATGCTTCTGCACAACTGATTTGAACAGTGGGAATAAACTACCAAAACGGAAACTATGCAAAAAGGAAAGATTGATAGTGTTGTTGACCGCATCATGCAATTTAAAAAAGCATAACTGTCGGGGGGGGGGGGGGGGGGGGGGGGAATAAATAAGGAATAACTGCAGTAAATGGATAAATTCACTGATACATCAGGCTGAACAGCTAGATAGGCAACCTTCCACCAACAATTTCACTGACTCAATCAGTGGGATATAGCAGCTTATAAGTGACGAATAATGCTAAAGGATCTGGACACACCTCAAAAACTATGGCCGATGGTTGGCCAGAGACCTTTAATGAACGCCAAAAGGCTCCGGATGGCTTGGTGTGGCTGTGAAACCGCTGGTTGCACAAAACAGGCGTCATTTAGACGCAGAGCCCGGTATCAAACAGGATCCCACCACATTAAAACCCGAGAGTGGATTAACTGCCTTTGGGCATAGTGAGTCATCCAACCATCATGGGAATTGAATTTTGGGTGGCGTCGTAAACCCAGGACAGTTACATCAGGGAAACAGTCGTTTACTTTATTCACCTGCAGTTAGTTACGGGAGACTGAGCACTTCCAGTGGCACTTTACAGCTCTCTGCAGACAGCAGGCTTCCACTTCACCGTCTCCTCTAATTGCAACCTAAACTGAATCACTCAACTCGAGCACCATTTCTACAGTGAGCGCATCGATAGATGTCTTAATGGAAAATTGCAGTTGAATAACACTTCCTTTATATAATGCTGCTTTTAAACCAGGATGGCAAAGTAAAAGAAAAAGTATTTCTATACTATAGGGTTATGAAAAAAGGTGTTATTTTTTAACCCTGGAACAAACGCCTATTGAATCATCTCACCTGTAAGCACAAAAACAGCTGCACTGCGTGTGCAGACAAGCAATGCTGTGCATTGCCTAAGGCGACTGTGCTGAAATGTGATGGTAGATGATGCAGCAATAACAGGGCTTTGTGTATTGTGCTTGACCACTAAAAGCCAGGCAAATACAGGTAGGGGAGATTGGTGACCATATAACATCTACATTTCTCTGTGCTTCTGGCCAGTGGAAGGTAACCATCCAATGTTTAGATATGCCAATTTATTATGGCTATGACTAAAGCTTATTTTATTAATTTTTAGCAATTTATGTCCATTTACTCTAAAACAGAAAATTACAATCAGTCCATGCCAAGTTATAAAAATGTCTTAAAACTTACATACCAAGACCCCAAACATATTTTCTTCCTCTAAAATATAATTGTAAGAGGCAAGCAACTGTACAAAATAAATCATCAATTGTGTATTTCATGTTAATCCAACTTATTGATCAACTTATAACTTAACACTACATTTAAAACATCTCAATTGCAGGCAAAACATTTTCAAGAGTCTAGTATTTAACAATCTGTGTGGCTTGGTAGAACCAACACTCACTAAAATAATTTTGTGCGCTGAGCTTACCTTTGCTCTGAGGGGGATTCTGGGTGCGATCACGGAGGATGTTGATCTGGTGAACAGCTCCGAAGGGCTCAAAAAGCTCTTTCAGTTCTGTTTCTGACCAGGAGCGCGGGATCTGTCCCACAAACATCTTGATGGAGTCTGGGTCTGGCTGGTCCAAGTGCTCCAGCGACCCATTCATCTTGCTGCCGTTTCCGTTGCTAAGAGAAACAAAAAATCTGTTATTAGAATGCTAGGCTCTAAACAAAGTTAATTTCACAAGTTAAAATCTGTGGTCATATTTATATGAAGCTCATTGGGGACTGACCAAAATACATCAATTAGGAACAATGTGTTATCTAAACTGAAGTCGACAACATGGTATTTGAGAAAGAAGTTTGTTATCAATGTACATATGATTATTTTATTTTGGAAGAACAATCAAGTTTTGCGACTAAAAGGCAGACTTTACAGTTAGAAAAAGAGTTTTAACTTAAAGGGTAAAATGGTCTGCTACGACAAGATATTGTTCTATTTTAGATTATACTGGTCATAATGCTGCAACAAGTAGTTTTAGCTGATCTGAAAAAGGTCTGTCAGCAGGTAATAACATCAAAGTATGTTACTGAGTTAAATCAAAAGGTCACAGAAACACACAAAACCAGTTCTACTTCAGAGTGGGTCAGGACTATTTGTATGTACAGCCCTTTCCAGGTATTGAAGAGAAACTAATTTAATAAACTAGTTTTTGTTTCAATATTTTTATTCCATTCTCTAGGAAGTACTGGCTCTCCCCCCAGGAGTCATTCATAGTTTGTAAATATTTCAAAATGTCTACCAAGAATTCAAATGGTTTATAGAGCATTAAATCCTTTGATGTGACTATTTGTGTATGTGTACACTGAAGTAGATGCTTAAACAATATATTGCTTACAGTAATGGATGGTGTAACATCTCTTAATTACATGGTCAACAAATATTGAGCCAGCAATCTGGATGGTCGGAGTAGTAGCGCAATGACGGAGATATGTGAAATACTAAATTGCGCCATTTTCCTCTGAGGCAAGCTTCTGGGACACAGAATCAATACCCACCAGTGTACCTACAACTACAGCACCTTTGTCTCACTCACACAAATGAAGCACACAAACATTTCCTGACAGGGTTAGTGGCGCTGGAAACCAGGAATGAGATCTGAGCTACAGCCATTCACAGATGCAGAGGCAGGGAAATCATGTTAAGCTATTATGCTTACATGTAAAGCATCACTCACAATACAATGTGGTTCCACAGAGGATAAAGAAGGGACAAGGACCAGTACAATACAGAAAGTGTAGACTATGGAACAAAATATATTAGTCTGGTGTACACACCAACAGTACCAAAATGCTTAAAAACACTAAGAAGAGAGACTGACAAAAATTACACTAATGTGAAAACAATTTTACATACAGACCTTTGGACGCGAGCCATCCATCTCTTACAAATTGAGCCCAGCCGTTCTGCAGAAACACCGAACTCCTTGAGGGACTTAAATGACATGCTAACAAATCACACTTTGGTTCTTGTTCTCCTAAAATCCAACTCTACACTTCAGTATGAATGTTTTAATTTCCTGTAGGCTGTCAATACATTCGAATGATGACATAAACACGGGAAAAAAGCCCCGGCGAAACAAAAGCCTCTCTCCACCAAAAAGGGGTGAGGGCCCCCCTCCCACCAGCTCCGACAGCTAAACGAAAACAGCACTGCAGAGCTCTAAACCTCCAAGAATCGCTAGTTAACAGAAAGAGATTTTGCGGTACATCTCCTCCTCAGGCGCATTGGCGATGGTACAGAGAGTAACCTACAGCTTCTTCGCCACAGCAGGGGAACAATCACATATTGTTCCCCCATGCTGGAGAACACTATTCACCGTTCCTCTACAGCACAATGGGCCAAGTCAGAGAGATGCTTTGGAACACATCGAAGGCTACGTGTGCTAAGGCTACAGCGCTGGTGGGTGACACCATTTATCCAGTTTTCCCACTGGCACTCGGGGCGCCATTTTGCTAAGGGCCCTTTGATGAAATCTTGTTATAGAAACAGCAAACCTCACTTGAAAAACTGGATTTGGGTCACAGCATTTAAAAACATGAAGGCTCAAAATCAACACAGTGTCTACTTAACATTCATTAAACTCTCAAGCCCCCTGCAGCTGTGCATTGTCTCTTCAGCTTAAGAGACTGTTGAGGAGAAACGTTACTGCAATAATACGGTCTTTGGGTTTGCTACCCACTCCTTAAAAAATTTTCAGTACTGCAAAAATGTCTATATGCCATACATTTGTATTAGTCAACGAACCAGAGACATTCAAGTAATAAAAATAATGGATTCAAATTGTCTGCCAAGTGTTATTACATCATGGAACGATATTGTAGAGTGGACAGAAAGTGCACAGACAGTAAGCACTATCACAGTAAGAGCTGTAGTGACCACTGAGTTGAAACTGGAGGAAAAAGAAAAAAAGCTAGAAAAGACAGGATGGTAAAAACATGCCAGAAAATTTGCTTTAGGAGTGTTTCAAGTTAAAAGAATCCATGGTGTTGCATTCACCATAAAGAAATAGTTTTGACATTTTGGGAAATACACTTACCTATCAGGATAAGCAGCCAGCTAGCTTAATTTAACACAAAGAAAACAGCTAATCTGGTTCTGTCATAAGGTTACAAAATCCAGCTATCTGCACCTCTAGAGTTCAGGAAGTTACTGAGCCTGGCCACGAAATAGTGCAGCTTCTCATCTAATTCTCTGCAAGAAACCAAATAAGCGCATTTCCCAAAAAGTTGGACCATCCCATTAACCAGTTAGTAATTAATTATGGCTAGCCCTACTAGCTTACCTACAAAAAAAGGGTGACAGCTGCCTAGGATGGGATGAGAATCTGCCAGTAGTTAGTTTTAAGTGTCAGTTGCTGATATAAAGTAGTATGGATCAGTGGAACTGGAGTGTCAAGCCATTTAGGCAGAATAATGTTATGTCAATACAGTAGTGGCACTGTGCCAATACAAAACTGCTGGCATACGCCTTAAACAACACACACTCAACTCTTTTCCCTGGGGTTATTTCTTTAGTAGAAATAAGTTTAACTGAAAACTCTTTAGTGGGTTCAGAGTAACCAGGAGATTGCTCCAATAAAGACACGTTTTCCTCCAAAGAAGCACCACAAATAACATTTCATTTACCTCTCTTTTATTGAGGGGGGACAAGAAATCTCAAGACGGGCATTGCTTCTGAAATTAAAATCAGCCCGACTTCAAAACAAATTTTATGTTACAGCACATAAAATGTTGATATTGATAAAGGGCACTGAATCAAAAATACTGTTATTGACCGTCAATCCTGCCCAGATCTGCTCCCTATACCACCCAGAAGAATGCTCCAAGAGAGTAGTGATGTAGTCTTTTGCTGCGCTTCCACAAACACCCCTGCGATGTGGCAGCTCATCGTGCTCCAAGACGCCCTGCAGCAGCTGACGAGTCATTCGGAGCCAGAGCCATGACAGTTGCATGCGTACTGCTGCACCACCCATAAAAACAGGTGATTTATCTGAACCATGTGCCTGTCCTGTTGGTGAGCTCTGACCGCGCAAGTATGCCACCGATACCTTTGCTGTGCCCATAATAGAAAGTCAGCCAATTTGCCTAGTAATGCACATGATTCTGAAAGCTCAGCGTGTGTGTTTGGACATTATTCATGCCTAAACCATCAGGGGTCACAGCAGTAACACATGTCACGTGACTGGACACCACTGCTGATGGAAAGTAGCTTATTTGTAGTCGCTTATACTATTAACCCCCCCCCCGATATAAAATGTATTTTTATCATTTCTAGCCATTTATTAATGTTATTTGGCACTTGAATGTCAAATAAACCACCGCAGTGTTGCTTTGATTAAAATATTGATCAAACAAGTCTTGTTAGGGCAATGTTACCCGTAATGCTAACTCTCTTCCTGTTTTGAGTAATAGACCTCCTTTGCCTTAGGCTGTTTTGGCAACCAGCAGAACACTGCTGTCGTGCTTTATTGGGGATAAAAAAAGTCAAAGTTCACATGGAGACACGTAATGCTCCTGAAAAAAAAGGGGGAAAAAAATCAGGCAACTGAAACAGCTGTTTGGTTGTAATACCCTCAAAAAAAACATGAGTTGCTTTTTCTTTCAGGAAACCAATGGCCTTATAAGCTGATTCAACAAGACGCAGAATGCCTCTAATGCCATGGTAATATCTTTGACAGCTGTCAAGTAGAACATAAAGGCTCCCTCTCCTAGCTGTATCTATTTTCTCCACTACTACAAAAAGAGGCAGAATATTCTTTGACAGGTTGAATAAGGTTTCACAAGCTTGGTATAAAATCTCTCAAGACAGGCTTGAAGTTTTAACTTAAAAAGTGGTCACAGACGACAACCGCAGGATTTACAGTTTGTTGTAGGATCCCTGAGCAAGAGTAACTCGGACCCGTGGACCAGGTTTTAAACAAAACAGCAACAAATGACAGCTGAGGATGGATGTTACTTGAGGCCCGAAAGCAGAATCAGGGGGACTGTTTTTTGATTTCCATACCAAGTGGTCGACTCTAATCAGCACTTCTGATGAGACGTTACTAAAATATTTTCCTCCTGGCATTAACTCCAATTCCGCTCAATACGGTCTAATTTCATTGTTGCGTTTCCCCTGATGAAGACAGACGTGTTCAATCAGGCTCTGAATGGGTCGCATGTTAACAGACGGCCAGCATCTGATGACAAGGCCCGCCCCATTAGCTGCATAATCACACTAAGTGTCCCTGCCGGTTATGGATGACGTTACTAAAGTAATGTTCACAGTCAAAACACCCAACTAAATGAACTCTTTTCACACACCTCCGTCAGCGTTGGATGGAGCCTGAATTTAAATCTTACGGTGGAGCATACCCAAATGTGTAGGAGCCTTACAAATGCATCTCAAATGAAGAGACAACTCACCAAAATTACACTTGATTACTCTGGCAGTGTGTGCTTACCACCCTGACTTGCTCAATCATCCTAACCTGTGATAGGCAACACACACAACAAATTGTGCGAAGCTGCTCTCTGTTTTTATGGTCCTAAACGGTGGTACATCCATCCCATCGGATCTGAACAGAATACTTCCTTGGAAAGAAATTAAAGACCTCTCTTTTCTATTTGTGTTTGTTTTCCTCTCACTTACTGCTATTTTTTTGTTACCATTTATTTTCATCTGATCTTGCTTTGTTAAGCGCTCTGGGCTGCATGTTTGCATGAAATGTGCTATACAAATAGGTTGTTATTATTACTCTCTTTATTAAACACTCCTCTTGCTGTACATGTACTCCTTTACTTTCAGTTTCTCCTTACAAATATGCACGTTTTTTTCTATGGCTGTATCCAAAACAACTCCCTTATTCACCATTATAGACACAGTTTAAACATTGTGTCACAACTGTATTTTTATTGTGCATTGTGGGATTGTAAGCAGAAAGTAGTGTACAATGTCTTAAATCTTCATAATTTTGAGGGCTCTATAATGCAAATAAATTAAACTCTAATTTTTTTCATTGTCGATTATTTTCAATTAATCAATTGTTTGGTCTATAAAATGTCAGAATATGTTGAAAAATGTTGAGCGGTGTTTCCGAAAGCCCAAGATTATGTCCTCAAATGTCTCATTTTATTTACAACCCAAAGATATTCAGTTTACTGTCCCAGAAAAGTAAACAAACTGTAAAATATTCACATTTAACTTTTCTTAAAATTGTACTAACTTAATAGTTGTAGCTCCAATACACTATAAAGCCTAGTTAATAATCAGTGATTTGTGACAGCCTACAACTGTGCACAGAAGCTTTCTGCTCCACAAAGACATCAATCCAGAAGAAGTTCTCTTGTCGACACATCTCCTGGTCCACTCAAGAAGCGCCTTTTCAACCAAACAGCTGATCCCACTTCATGTGGACTGGAGTCACTGACACACAAGCATGCTGACCTGAATGGCGCATCATTTTGAAAACATTATGCTAATTGATATCTAAATTTAGCATCATAAGCTGAGACATATATTTTTTGCTGCTGTAACATGCCTCTAGTGTAGACTTTGTTAATGACTAAACAGCCATACGGTACCGATAATTTCATGGACATCTGGTCTTATGTAACTCTGTCCTACAATATCTTTTGTTTGCGAAAGCTCGCAGAGGAATTTGCTCAACCTTCGATTACACCACCCCACATAGGGGACGTGATTATGAGCGTTCCAAGGCTGTGTATGTTGCTCCAGGACTGCCAGTCTTGTAATTATTGCCGCGCCAAGCTAGCAGTAGGAGCAGAGAAACAGGTGACAGCCAGATCAGAGCCCTCCTACACTTGGCCTTCAACATCTGGCTGCATGACACTCTCCCACCACTGCCACCACCCTCACAGTGAGGGGGGGGGGGGGGGGCAGAACAGCCAGCCCGAGCAGCCCCAGGACCCTCTGCCAAGATCCTACACTTCGCAAGATCAACAGCTCCGCGGCCACAACAAAAGGGATCCCTGTGACGCTTAGCTTACTGACATAGCACTACAGCTGTGTTGGCTGCCAAAGGATCACGCTTAAACCCTGACAGTCACTCTCACTGTCAACAATCAGAGGGATAAATCAATCAAATACAGCTGGGGCAAGATCTAATCACTACCTCACTGTCCCCAAGACCCACAGATGAGATAGTCTTCAAAGAGTCCTTCAGAAGTGTGAAATGTCATAAAAATCAAACCATTCCACTAAATTTAAAACCTGTTAATGTTCACCTGCTTCCTTCAACAGGGGATTATAAAAAAGGAAAGGCTGCAGAAAATTATTTCCATGAAAAATTAACTGGCCAATTTACAATCAACTGACAGTTTGGTCTACAAACGTTACAAAATAGTTAAAAGCCTCCATCACAGCTTTGTCTTAAAATAGCCTGTTTCGTCCAACTAACATTAAAGATATACAATTTACCTTCACATTCCATAAAGAAAAGCAATAAATCCTTACATGTGTTATATTGGAACTAGGGAATACAATTTCTATTGAAAAATTACGATTAATTGATTCTGTTAATCGAGTGTTTCAGAAGTCAGAACCAAACAAAAGGCTAAAGGAACAAAATATAGATCAGAATCTGTCTTTGCAGCCAAGCATACATTATACACTGACCTAATTTAATGACCAAACTACTAAAAATGGTTTGAAGAAAACACCCTTACAAAATAACCGTTTTAAGTGCAAGACCGTAAAATCAAAAGGACCAGGCACATTTTGCTGCACGATAAAGATAGCACTCCTGAAAGTACAAACATTAAAATTTTAGAAACAGTCTTGTAAAAGCAAGCTGTGGTGTTTTGGAAATGTTTTTGTCAAGCAGGATTAGCTGTTATGTCGAGACGACAGAGTTATAATATGGACCTCTGTGCTTGGTGAATGTCTTTTCTCCCTTGTTTACATGTCGTGTCACCAGATTTCCATTAATGGCTCAATAATGTAGCAAACCACGTGTCCGCCGTTAAGTAAGCACAGCACTCTGTATTCAACATGGACGGGAGCACCAGCTAACGATGTTAGCTAGCTCGGTGGCTAGCAGAGAGACAGGGAGGGACTGGGAGTGCGCCAGGCAAGCCGAGCTGATAGCCCGTGTGCTGCCTACAAATAAGCTTTACTCATGCTGCTGAGATGTAGCCAGTAAAGCTGAAAAACAAACAAGGTGGCAACAAATATATGATTAGCAAACTTGACGTCAACTTAACACGATAACTCTCCTCAACGCACTTCCCTTTAACCCGTTGATAAGTGGGCAGTTAAACACCTACCGTTTCGATCGAGCACACGACAACGGAAACTTGTTCAGTTGCAACTAACTAAATAAAACACCAACCACACAGGGGGTGCGGTATTTCTACAATTAAAGTAATACAAATATACACCTTGTGTTGTTGTTTTTAAAAAGCTAATTGTGCTGTTTTTCTGGACTGAAACCGAAACGTGTGATCTCCGGAAGCACATGTCACTTGACTATTGTAGCGCGCCTAGTATCTGATACCGTCGCTAGCTAATTGCGTTTTCCAGTCACTTCGAGTAATATCTGTTAGCACAGACGGTGTGTGCTCAGCCGTAGTTGGGTGTGGTGTTAACATTTACTCAGCTGACTTCTGTTGCGGTTACATCCTGTATTATCTAAGTTAGACAAAACTACAGGTGAGCGTACCGTCTCGGTTCGCGTGATTAGCAACGTTAGCATCCCAGTTGCCAGTTAAGCTAACGTTAGCTAACTCCCAACTCGCCCGGAACTGTGTTGTTTGCTTTATCTCTTTAAAAAAACACTCCCAAATGTTGGCGTCGCTGACGGAGAGAAGCACTAACGCTGCGAATAACGATAGTTGGATTACTTACATTGTGTCGCTCGAAGTCATTAACCGACTTTCGGCCAGAGGGTGGAAATCCAGGTTGTACGTCGAAGTCATGCTCAAAACAACGTCTATCTAACAATGAGAAGCGACGTCCGCTCACTCGCAAGAGGCTCAACTCCGGCGAGACGGCGACAAGACGAAGCAGAACAGGTGCAGGGAGGGGGCGTCTCAAAACTGCATGAGAGAGAGGGAGAGAGAGGGCACCGATATCCGCCTTATTCCTTCCTCCTGATTTCTCTCTCGTCCCCGACTGAAATAAATTCAGGCAAGCCGCTGTCACACTGCACACCGAGCTGCAGCAAACCAGAGGCGTGGTCTCTTCAACAAAAGTCTGAAACCATGCTGCCTGCTGCTGCTGCTGCTGCTGCTGCTTTGCGAGCCTCACAGCGCTTCCACCCCATGTAAAATTACTGTAATGCCTCTATAGGGACTGGCACGTGGTGTCCTATACAGAGTTTACTGACCTACTTGTAATTCTTGACGTTGACATACCATTGTATTCTTATAATGACTTGACATCCTGCAGCATTTTCAAAAATGAAAGCAACATTAAAAGAATTACATCCTGTCCAGGCTTTGTTGTGAAGGGAGGTTAGTCTGTGGATGAACCAGAGATCTAATGATCAATTTAAAACGTTTACATATAGTACCCAGGTCATAATCATCAAGATTAATGATGCTCCTCTTGTTCCATAATTTCTCAGAGTCTAAATTAGGTGCCTGCATTGCTGAAATTGGATTATGCTAATAAATAAGACAATTTCCAGCTTATTTATTGCCTTAAATTGCAGTTTTATACATCTCATCATGTCAAAAGTGAGATGGTTAAAATGCATATTTTTTTTCTTTTTTCATGCTGTCTTGCTTTCCCCAAGGGTCACAGGTCATGTTCCCCTTTGTGCTGGGCTGTTGTTTCCCTGGGGGGAGGGGGAGCCTATCTCCTTTTGTTGTGCTGGACGTGCAGGGCGAGGCCTCTACACTTGAGGGGAAAGGTAGGGGGGCTGTTGTCAAGTACTCTTTGCCATAGCAGAGAGGCGGGGGAAGGGGGGTAGCCTAATTATCAAACCATTCATTATTACTCCAGCAGCTGCACAATCCAAAGATATTATTCATAGAGAGTGTTAAGAAACATCCCATTCATGAAATCCGACTTAATCCTTGTATCCATAGCAATTTCAAGGCAACTTGGCAACACCGCAAAGCATGCTCTATTAAACAGTGACTAAAAGAGGTTTGTATGCATAATGTGATATGCGACCTATTTTGCCATACATGTAGACAAGCCCACTATGCAACATCCATTACCATTAAGCTTGAGGGCCTGCTATAAAAAGATAGTCTAAACCTCTCTGGAGAATCAGGTTTCATTAAGATGGAGGAAAAATACAATAATGTCATCCCGTCTGCAGCATCCACATATTTCCTTTGACTAAATTAGATCTCAGGGGATCTTATTGAATAGATTTGTTATAAAAGAAGCAGGATTCTTGTAAAGTGCAGCTCTTCATTCTCTCGTGGGTATGTACAACACATACAGTACAGTTTCATGTACAGTACATAATACCATCGCACTACTTTATTTCTAAAATTTGGCATGCATGTCCTTGGTTTTTCTAAGAGACATTTGGTGGAGTGGATTCCAGATGCTGATACCAAGTTGCTGGCACCTTCTAATACTAGCCTCCTATTCCTAATCTGAGATTATTACTATTGTAATCCTATCATAATCCTCCACACGTACCATGCTTTTGTTGTTTACATCAAATTTTTCCCCCTCATGCAGTGGAAGTCCCTCTCACCCATCATCATCATAATCATCCAGCATTTAAATTTGCACCCTTTCCGTGACAAACTGCACAGTGTAAAAAATAAGACCCAGATAGGCCATATTATGTCTTTTTAAACATGTCGCCTTAAACTTGGAGGCACACTTTTTCTTAGCTCTGCCTTTTGTGAACGGTTTTGCAGAATGGCGACCAACTAAAGGGCTCTCAAAATGGAGAGCAAGAACTTCATCTTATCGTGCTTTCCACTAGAGGAAATGTATTGTGTCAAGACGTAATAAGCACACATGATAACACTACCTTATCAGGGTCCAGTTCCACTAAATTCATGAAAATTCCAAGATGGATGTAAATGTTCCTTTATGTTGTTTTAAAGATTGTTGATATCTTTTGTTGTTTTTGACAGAGGGAGTACCGTAAGGCCTGGGTTGGTTTCAGTGCATATCTAATCGCACAGGTTTGTCTTTTTCAGTGGCCTGTGTGATTCAGAGACAAACAGCTGCATCAATGGTACATTTATCTCTCTTTCTTTAATTGTTGTTCATGCTAGTATCTGAGCCTTTGTTGAACTTTGAAAAGAGAAGGAAGGTGAATTAAATGAAAGGAGAATGCTATAAGGTGTTGATTTCTCTATCCTGATACAAATATAAACAAAACCACTGCTTCCTTATTGAGTAATGTTTGTCTAGGGAAGATGGAATTGATATGGATTGGCCAAAATTGTTAGATTAAAATATATAGTTTCTGGGTTCCTAGAGAAAAAAAAATATAGAGACACCAGATCAACACCATCCTTCATATAGTCATAGCATGGGCAAACTCCTCAACTGGAAACAATACATCCTATGACAATATTCAACCCAGACAAAGAAGCAGTCCAGATACAGGCTGCTCCACAAAAGCTAGCCCAGATTTGAATGAGGGGCCAACCCCAACGTACCTCATAGGCAGGTCCTCATTCCTGACAGAAATCCCGGCTGCAGAGGGGGGACAGCGCATGCTGTTGGCATACAAACTCTGCACCAGCGCCAGCTCAGAAGAGTGTTCCAACATCGGTGCTCTGGAAAAATCCACCCGGTGTAATGGACACTTTCTTCTCTTTCCCTCTATCCTCTATGTGTTTCTCTCCGTTTCTCTGTCTCCCGCCCACTCTTTCTCGGTTTAGTGCAGCAGAGCGGCGCCCACCCCCTTCACTGACTGGCGTGGCTGAAATAATCCTCTCTGACAGCTCATCGTGCGTTAATGCATTGTGCTGCCTGCGGCAGCCCAGTTTGCAGGCTGTAGAGCTGTAGCCACAGTAGCACTCTTGCTCTAATTGACACCCATATTAGGAAAACTTCAGAATATCGGACATGGATGATTTATTCCCATTGTCAGATTGGGGGAAATTAGAGACACACTTTCCACAAGATCTCACAAGTCCTAGTTTTGTGGTGTGCTTCTATGCATGTTTTCATCATCAGAAGGCGACCATCAAGCCTGGTATCCTAAAAAATATTTTCATGTTAAACATTCTGCTCACCACTGAGCACCTGTAAATATTGAAGGTAAATATTATAGCCCTGCGGGGATGTACATGTCACTGTCCCCCCATGAGCTGGCTGATAATAAACTAGTGGGAGACAGGTAAAGAGCTTTCCTTGACAACCCCATGTCATTATTATTCTGGAGTAGATAGGGATAAAGATAGCCTGCTCGAATTATGAGCCAACATGGTAGTCAGCAACTTGTTAAATAAGGAACAGAGTACAGTATGGCCCCCGTCGTTCACCATTTCAGACTAGTCAATCTGAAATACCTGCAGTAGCTGAAAGTGTATTTAACTGCCTGTGACTCTCCTACAGTATTCCAGAGCATATAATGTATAAAAACTCAAATGACATGTATGTAATGCTACAGGAAATGGTTCTCCACGTTACAGTTAAAGCCCTGATCATCAACCGATGGCAGGATTCAGAGCTTATCGACGAGGCTCAACAACAGAGTTTTATGAAAAAACATATTGCATGTTGATTTGCATTGGACATCGCTCATTTGCCTATGTTCTGAGCCATATTGTTGGGAATATGACGAAGGCCAAGCCTTTAAGTTACTGAACATTGCAGGACACATACAGTACTATCTCATAACTAACACACTTAGAGCCATCCGATTAAAATTTTGAAAGTAATCTCTCATGATATTCTTTGCACAAAACCCAGGAGAAATTAAATCTAGGTCTCATTCTCCCATAGGTGCTGTGTCCTGTTAGAGTGACATGACATTAAGTAGGAAAGTCATCTGAAACAGGGTCATGTCGGTGTGTGCTGGTATCATAGTTGAGAAGACCAGCATGAAGGGGCTCCACTTCCTCTGATCATCACACAAAATCCTCTTCATTTCAGCTATGCTCTCACTGCTGACATGAATATTTTAAACACCGATGTTGAAATCCAGTTCTTTATGATGCGTAGCTGCTTAGTATAACTGTGAGTGCTACTGGCGCCATGTAGAGCGCAGAATAACTGAAGGCCTTTCTTCCTGCACAGATCTACCAACATGTAAGAGCATAAACACACGCTCAGTATGGCAATGTTGCATGCACTATTGCTTTCCAGTTGAAATCCCATTTAAAGAGGTTCCAGAAGTAAAAAATAATACAAGACAAAATGGTCTGTGAATGCTATATGAAATGCATTTGTAATATGATTAATTTGTGGAAGCTGTAACATCACACAGCAAAGATGCACCACTATAAAAAAAAAAACCAACCACATCCTGTTCACATCCAAAGTGAAGAGAAAGCTGTTGTTAGTCTGTCTTAGTGCATGCTGCGGTTGAACAAAATGCACTCATGCCTGGCATGTAATAAGTCAAATAGCAGCACATGTTTACAGAACTGCAGGTGGTCTCATGATGAGTGAAAACACTCATCAGCTTTCCCTTTTTACCAGTTTTGGGCTCCTCTGAGACTGATTGCACAACAAATACTGTCTGTCTTTTTATGGGTTAAAACTGAAACTGTTCCAGCTCGGTGCACATTGTGTTCTGTCGCGTGTGCTAACGCGGTGAGTTTTTAAAATTGAAGAAGTGAAATGAATTTGAAACCTGTTTATATATAAACAAGCAGTGCATTCTGTACTACAGCGGCATTATATGTCACGATCCTGTCCTCAGCATGTCTGGGTTATATTATTTTGGCCATGCCTTCTCTGTGTTTTGATTTTGGGTTCTCTGTGTCTGGGTTTCAGTCCTGTCTGTGGTCTTGTATCCAGTCTTCTGCTTGTTCTGTGTGGTGGTTCTGATCTGTCCTGTTATCTCAATGTCTGCCTTTAGTACTTGTTTAGTTCTGTTCCTGTCCCTCTTGTGTTAGATCTCTACCATCATGCTTAGGTTCTATCTGTTTGTTAGATGTCAATTTATGCTCTCCGCCAGTTTCATTAATTAATCTGATTTTGATAATTTTGCTTTAGTCTCTGTGTAGCCTTCATTATTTCATTCATCCACATCTTTAAGTTACTTCGTATCTGCCTTGTCTCGTATCCTAGTTCCAAGTTTGGTGTCTTAGTTCTTAGTCCTGTACCTTAGTTCATGTCTTAAGTGTCTACTCCTGGTCTGTGTACTTCTGTGTTGTTTTGCCCATGTCTGCT